TTTCTTCTCATTTCTTTGGCAATCTGAGCAGCCTTGCCTGACAGCTTCAAACATTGTGCAGACATTCCATGTCCCCATCCTTACTTTCGTTTTCATCGAGAGAAGAAACACTAGCCAACTGGCTTCTCGAAGGCTTTCAGCAACTGGCATCATTTCGTCTCTCCGATTCCAGCGAAGAATATGTGTGTTTTCATTTTTCATAATTTCTTTATGCTTAGAATTTTCTCTAGCTATTGGATTGTTTTTCCGGGGTATGGTTGCTTGCTGTATGCCCGCCCTTCCCTCTTTACCTGGGCTTATGACCGGCTAATGACTGGTGACATTGTTAACCAGGCGAGGTTAGTAGGAATGATACAATAGTTAAATTCAATATGACGACCAAGGTAATGTGTTCTGGTATCACTGCCACTGAGCTTCATTCAGAGCAATACCTCCTGAATTTTCCGGTCCAATTGACGTTAACCGAAAGTCTATTTTTCCTCACATGGCTGGGACGAATAGTCACAGACTTCATGGACCGATGCCACGGTTTATTCAGGACTCCTCCAATTTTGGCAGCTTTATACCGACATCGGCTTACGTTACTCAACAGAGAAGAAAATTGAAAAGATATGCAAACCACATGTCATAGTAAGCTGAGTTGACGATGGTTCACAACCTCATCATCTTACATTCCTCCTTCACTTAGAACTCTATATCTGACTTCTACGTTGTTTATGCAATGACGACACGGTATATGGTCCATGCTGCGAAGAAAACGATGTGCAAACACTTGCAACATCCGTATGTCTTCTATCTTCACTGGATAAATGTTGCAAAAACACAGTAGAGCCAAGAGAATTGCCGAGCGGTGCACCTGGTCCTCAGTGCACAATGATACATGATGGTGGTACGTAAGATGGAGTAAGTTTACAAAAACCAGGCTAGTCTTTGTATCCACGTAGAGATCTTTTTGATCTCTGATCCACCATGTCCACTCCATCTTCTTATGTAATTGAAATGGACGATACACTCAACCACTTCACTCCCTTTTCTTAGACGTAGTGCCAACGTAGACCGGTCTTAAAGCAACTACCTTGAGTTAGGTGGTAAGAAATCCATCCCAAACATTCTCAAACTTCTGCTGAGGATCTCCAAAAGACTGCTCTTTGTCAACATTTTCATTCAATGGGATTACACCATAAGCATACTCTAGGTCTCCCTTTGATGTACGAAATTCACCTGATTTTTCACCATGGGTTGCAACACCCACACAAGTGTTCAAATACTGCTCTTTAGACAAAGTAATTCACTCACCCAACACTTCTTCCAGTGAGAGACAACGCCAACACTAATCTCAATCTAAAGAGAAAAATACAACCTCGAAGGTCAAGAAATACAGTCAGTGTCAGGCACTGCATATGTATGTGTTTAAAGAAATTAGAAAACGGTGAAGATCCGGTTGATGTACTCATGATTAATTTGAAACCTGTACGGTTTACTCATGTTTCATCTTCCCTAGCTTTACTTAGTCTAATGCTTATGGAATTTGGAATCCTTATCATCATTTTCAACAGACACTTTCCAGTGTGGTCATTAAAGATGGATTTCTCTTTTTTCTTGAACGTTTGGATAATCTGCTATTGAGAACAGTCAGAGGGCATCATAACTGACTCCTATACGTTAGCTAACCGTTCAGTTATTCTGACCAGTAAAACTTGGATAGCCTAATTAAATGCTTCTGGTAATACCCCCATCCGGCCGTACTGCCTTCCCTAGTTTTGGCTATTTACAGGCTCCTCAATTCGTGAAAATAGATCACTAGCCTATCCTCTTCCTTATTAGTCTCACTTGCCATCCATTTTTATACCCATCTTCCTTGGTAAGTTATACAACTGTTTACTGTTACCTGTCGCTGCTGCCATTTCTATCCATTCATCCTCATCTGCTTACCACCCATCATGGTTGTCGCGAAGACCTTTTGTGAACCTACATTTTAATTTCTTCCACTGATTATCCTCTGAGTCTTTAGGAATGTGTTCACATGTGTCCTCTAATTCAGAAGAAGATACTGTGATGTAGTGACCCCTTCTGACAACCTTCTTAGAGTCGGTTAGGATCTTATTACAGTAGGCTGCAGATGCAGCCAGATTTACTTCGGACGAGCGATCCAAACCAAACAACTTTCAAATGAATCTTAAGTAAACTGTCCTTTAAAAAAGATAAATTAGTGCGATCAATCATACTTTTTCTGAGATTCTTTTTTCATTTTATGTCGTCTGTATAACACTGTCCATCATAAACTATACAAGCCACTTAAAAATTAAATAGCCTTTGATCAGCTCATAAAGTGATTACTTCAAAAGCTTTACACATATCGAGTCTTGACTGTGGTCAGATAGATGGTGTGGGACCGAACGTTTCAAGATACTGTCTTGAGAAATGAACTGTCACTTAAGACAAGTTTTTGTTGCTCAGCTAAGTTTTATCTTCTCACTAGGTCATGCGAATTTATAAAAAGAGCTAGCTACTTTGAATTCAAGTTTTTTTACGCTTGTAAATGCATTTCCGAAGCAAAGCTTCACAATATGAAGTGACCTAGTAAATACGTAAAAGGTGTGATTCAGTACGTAAGCATATCTCGGACACAGAACTATAAGCGGCTGCCAGGATAAGATTGCTTAGAAAGGTGACGGTGTGGATTCTTTTAATTATGTTGTCCAGTATTGGTAGTAGTGGTGGATAGTGGCTAGCAGTGGAATCCAGGACGCGCGTTTCCTAGTATTTGGGAATCGCCAGCTGAAACTAACTGCCTCCCAATGACTAATATTGTTCCCACTAAGACTGGAACTAAGGACCGATAGCTTCAAATCCTGGAGTGTTATCCACTAGGCTACCTAGTCACGATGCGCTGCGATGGGCATCATCTTAATGTTATTGTTTGTAATTTTTTGTCGTTGATTGTACCTAATTGACCAGTCTCTATTGCTACATGGGCTCCTCGATTCCAATCCCAGCCACTATCCATCATTACTACCAACGTGAAACTACAAGCGATATCAAGGCATCCGTCCAGAAGCCCACATTTCAATAGAGTGATCATTTCTGTCCAGTCAATGATGGAAAACTACAAGCAATAACATTGCCAAGTAGTTCTTGTAATATTTTGCGATAGTATAGTACACCGTGCATAAATATTGAACAGAGGAATCACCTTACAAGTCAGTCATGTCTACAAGGGTTTTTTCAGCACTTCTCACTTCTCTATTATTATTTTAAATCCTTCACATTTAATGTGGCTATCGAATAAAAATAAGCCTTGTAACGCATACTGATACTGACTGAAGCTGAAAATGTGATAACACATTAGAAAAATATGTTATATGAGAGGGAAGTATTCGTTCAACCTTAGGACATATTTAATGTCATCATGATATCACTCAAGTGGTGTTGCATTGGGAAGAAATGTTTATGTGATGGGAGCTATTTATTACTGTTATAATTAGGTGTTAAAGTAGACTGATCCACCCACTAATCAGTGTGCTGTTTATGAGACTCCATACATATGATAAAGAATCAGTTATCTAGTAACTGCAAACACATTCCTGATGAGTAAAAAAACACACGATGATTATGGCTTCCCGACATTACCTTCCATTATTTTAATTTGATAATCTTCGTATAGTAGTGATTTAGTGACTGTGATAATTAAAAGCAAGTAAGTAAAACTATAAATTTGACTTGTTTATTTGATATGGCAGAATAAGATTTCATAGTCTACGCACGTGATAAACTTACACTAGTAAGATTAGCTAGGAGATTTTAATTGGTTATTCCAAATGGACAGGAAACCTTGGACCTAGGTCTCATGCTTGTTGGCACTCATCAGCAAGGCGTATCTGCAACTTCACGGACAGGGATTTCCCATATGAGATTCAGATCCAGTGTTGCAGTCATCGACGTTACAAATGAGCTATTCAGACCACGACTGACCTAATGTACGACTAGATTACTTGCATTGATTGATCACTAGAGAGCAACCAATCTCATGTTGTCTAGTCCTAAATCCTGATCGAACTCTCACGACTGTTTTTGCGATGTGGTCACCAAGCTAGGAGGCTCACCACTGCGGTGCAATTTGGTGGATGTTAGTTGCTTGAAGGTTGGATGGTGAGTCGCCTAGCGTGGTGGACACACACGACAAAATGACCCATAGAATTCGTTCAGCACTCAGAACTAGACATTATGAGATAGGTTGCTCTGCAGTGATTAGTCAATGTTAGGTAAATGTTCAAAAAGTTTTTGTTCGCTGGTGTATTGACTGTGGAGATCTTGATATTTTTCTCAAACCAAACGCCACTCAAAAAACTCTTTAACTTCAAAATTCTGATGTAAACTAGTAGTTATTGTTATATATTTCTTTCTAAATCAGTTTATTTCAGTTATCCAACTATCCACGTAGTTCTTATACAACCACTTCAACAGTACACAAAGTGATAGTTTCAAACTGCCTTGCCGATAACAAAGTGAAACAAAAATTTGTAATCCTCCACAAGTCTTCTTTGTAAAACACAGGTGATTCTTATTTCCACTTGATTCTAGATTAGCTATGAGAGAGAATAAACTCTGATATCGATGTGGGTGTACCACATTCATTTCTTAAAATTGCTTTGCTACTATCCTGTTTTATCTTAAAGGGCAGAATAAATTCCTGAGTTTTATCTGATTATATCCTACTAATCTGAAAAACGTTCTCAGATTCCATTCAGGTTAGTTTATGTGGCATACAAGTTATTTAGAGACGTCTGAATCCTATTGATCGCTACTGAGACTAAATATCTTCTCATCCCACTTATACCAATCAAATTACTTCGCCATGCAAAGGTTAAATGCCTTGCCTAGTTCTCTTAACCAATCATCTCTTGGAAGATAATACATACGTTTAAGGTCAGACTCCATCAGACTCAAGGCAGATTCTCTCTCTAGTAAAACCTTTCTAATCTTCTGACTCGTAATGGTAGTTATGATTGGCAAACGGTAAATTTCATTCCAAACCAATCATCGATAAACTCTGAATGGGCAATATACTGATCTAATGTATCAAACGTAATACATTAGTGATAAATCAAAGGATTTCTGACTCATTCTCCCTGAAAACAGATTAAAATGCACGTGTTATGTACTTAGAAGATTGTATGTACACCTAAACTTATATTGATGTACCATCTGTTACACTTCTAATCCTGAAATCGGAATGATTACTTACCTTAAACGACGTTTCTCTTCAGGAGATTTACAGGGTGAGTTAGCTGACAAGCGTATGCAAGAAGGATTACCCAGTTTTCTACGATTCGGATCTTCTACTCAAGCTGAACAGCCACATCAACAGTACTCGCAGCACAATTCAAACATCCACCCTGGAGGACAAGGAGTGCAAATATATGCAAACCAACCCCAAGATGCTAATTCAGTACGACCACTAAACTATGATTCAAAGCATGTTTCAGCAACTGGTGTGTTTGATCACACGGCTGGTGCTCACGCAAGTACAGCAACAACTACACCTAATTACATTCATGGATCCATGGGTCGTGGACGTGGTGCTTATCCAAGTGCTCCAACTTCACCAACGAGATCCACTGGGCTTAGTGCCTCTCTTATGGGTCCAATGGGGAGTTTAACAGGTCAAATATCGAACACGATTATGCGTGGTTTCAATACCGCGGCTTCCACCGCTCAGAACATATCTGGAAAAATATCTTCTAAAGACCACCAGAAGATACTTTTAGTCATAGATGACACTCAGACAGACTGGTGAGTGGTTTTTCAAGATACTTAACATATCTGAAGTAAGTATGATTTGTAAAAACTGTCTATGTCCTTATTAGAAAGTTACAGTCAGCTGACTTGCAAAACAAATTTGGAAACTTACACTAAAAATCATGTGCCTGAAAGAAATGGATGAGAATAAAAGCTTCTGCTCATAAAGAATTTAGAAAATTTAAGGACGTGGAAAGTTAAACAAAATATATCAACTATAAAATCTCTCTGAAAACCTTAAATCACTGCATTATGGACTAACTTGTTCAATTAGTTAACGGTTAGGTACAGTAAAATGATGTGAAAACCACTTATTTGCTTGTTTAGAAACGTACCTACTTTTAAAAGACATGTAACATGGATGAAAGGGTGTTTGTAAATCAGACAGTCAAATGTAAACAAAGAAATTAATACTGACTAACCAAGTAAACGGATGCAATCAGGTACACATGGTGTAGTCTCCTCATTTGAAAATCTTGCTCGTTATGTTGTCATACATACGTATATAAAACTCCTATTATTAAGACATTAGCAAACCACCAGAAAGATAATAAATTGACTGAATTGTTAAAAGCTACGTGCTGCGAAAATGAAGGTTCACACAGTCTACTCAACTTGAGAGGTAGGTGTGACCGAGATCAATTCTAAATTGGCAAATACCATTTGTAGTTATTAAAGGATTTTTGTTTCTGTGACAAAATTTTGGTCAATACAAAGTATAATGCAGTAGCCATAAATAAACAAAGTCCGGTCAACTCAGGATATATAAATTATATTTCATGAGTTTACTTAGTAACCCATAAGGCTGAGGTTGAAAAAGTACAACAAAATTTGATATCAAAGCTTATATAAAAATATTTTAATAAGTTGAAACCTAGAACTTATCAGTGATATATTTCGAAAAATGCTTGGAAAACTTGTCAAGCTGTCGGAAGAGTTAAGAAAACATCATTTCTCGACAACTACACAAAGTATTAATCTTTGGTCCAAAGAGGTTGCATGGATCTAACGGATCTAAAAAATAATAAACCCTTTAGAAGATAGGGTTTGCAAGATATTAAGTCTATTGTTGGAATAACACTAGCTAGATTTAACTTCTTAGTCAGATTCCACTGTGGATTCCTTGAAAACTAAAATTTCATCTACCTTCTTTTCGACTATATTCGACTCCAAAACAGAATAGTACTTTAATGTTTTCACAGCGCTAAACTACATACTATTATAACCAGGATTTTTACATTGTATCAAAAAGGACTGCATTTTTTTACATCAACATTGAGGAGTACGAGATGTAATTACAGTTGAAAAATTCACAGTACGAGTCTAATCTAATCAGGTCAAAACGGTCTCCACTAAAGAGTTCAGTCAACTCAGATCGGGCAGCGATAAACACCGACATTTATAGCCATGCAGTCATAGTGGCATTTCATAAGATGCCCAATACGATTTTTAAAAAGTCATATTAGCATGAAACGTGGGTAATCAGTAAGAACATCATGATGCATACAAATAAGCGCTTTACATCAAACAAATTTGACCTCTAGACGAAGTACTTTGTCAAGCCTTCTGGTTGGATGTGCCCTGTGATCCAAACTACACTTTTAGAGTCACTCTAAAGACCACCCTAGTGACAACTGAATCGATCAATGAGGCCTTTGTATCTTTCGCAAAAGCCACCTTTCCAAATTACATAAAGAAATCAGCTTGACAATTTCAGTGGTTGCCATGATCGCCTTTGAAGTTACTCTGTTTGACCTACTAAAACTCATTTCGCCCTTCCACCTGATTAATGGCAATAAATGATCTGATGTTTTCATAATTGTCAGTCATATTTATTAAATGAGTGGAAATAATAGAAACGCTACAAGTTCTACTTTCTAAAATATGAACTGTATTCCATATCGCATATATATAATGGTTGTATAAGTCTGTATGATGCCGATACTTCATAAGAATAAATAAAAAAATTAGGCTTTTTAAATAATTATGGAACATTTAGTGAAATATAGTACTTATATTGGTTTTTATCATTATCGTTTTAGCAAGATTTCGAATCGTGACATGAACTTTGGTTCTGTTCTTTCCCATGAGTCACCCCTGAATTTAAAATTGTTTGACAGCAAAGACCATATTAGATAGCCTAAGTAGTGAAACAAGTAGACATCACTCAAATGCAGAAATGATCAGCTAACATTATAAATATGGGATGTAAGCTATAATAATGTAAATAGCATGAAAAAATTAGTAAATGAACTTTCGAAGGGGGTAGAAGTAGGGTTTGTCAATAAATACTCACAAAAATACCTGAATTACACGCCAAAATATTCTGACATCAATTCTGCCTCTTGACTGTTATGCTGGAGTAGAAGGTAGAAGAAAAATATTTGAGACAGAAACTGAAGTTTGCATCACTTAGATTTTCAGTATATTATGGTATCCCTCTCATCGATATACGAATAATCGGTTTTATCAAAGTTTCACTTGGATCGTAATGATGGACAGTGGCTAGAAATGGAATGCGAGACAAGCGTTTTATCATGTTTTGGACTTGTCACTTGAATATATCAGCATCCTAGTGAATGATGATGTTCTAAATGGAATTCAAAGCTCGAAAACAACACTTCAAACACGAGACTGTTACCCACTAGGCTAATAAGTCACCTTATCCACACCTTGTAGGTCATGTTCTGTTTGATCTTGACAGCTCATAGTTTCCCATAGCTGATTAAACCGAATTAATCAATCTCTGTTTACTTCTGGTTTCGTGTACGGATCCCTGGATGCCGCTATGAATTTACTTTGATCCCCGACCAGAAACTGGAAACTATGAAATCAAGGTTTCACTTGGTTATCTTAGTATGAAATGTTATGGTGAAAGCTACTCCTGCAAATTATCTATTTCATTTGTTGCTCTTTTGAGTTGAGTTAAGTGCAGCGAAATTTTATTTCTTTTCGTAGTTCATTCACTTTTCTTTAAGAAATACAGTACAACCAAAGTCGATGAGTCAACAAACAAAAAATTTCAGAGTGCAAACATGAACAAGGGAATAAAATTAGTTTGTCATATTACAAATGAATAAGACTTTCATTTATTCATTGACGCCTCTTTCTACTTTGCTTGTAACAAAAGATAACTTAATAGCAACTAAATAATTATGCAACGTCTTTCTGCTATTATTATACGCTGTGATCTAAATAGGATCAATGTTATACTAGGGAATAAGCGTAGGTTTTTAATGCAATTGTAAGTGACCATATTTAACGAAATTGTGTTAGCTGGTTTTGATGACCTTTAAACATGAGTTTTTCTTAGGTTCAGTTTCCCATGATTGTCTAGGTATCATTTTCAGTGTTGCTATACAAAAAAAGCTTCTACATACATTTGCTACATTTAAATGAGTCTTCTGTTCAGGAGCAATGTATAACTTCCTACACCAGTTAGTGGCATGCATTCATTTGCTTCCCATTCCTTTGTGAGTAAAGTACGTTCTGAACCAGACTTCGAATTAGTATCCCACTGAATCAATACTACTAAAATATACTGAATGGAGAACGTTTTACTTCTAATGACAGTATTAAAATATTGCATTCTGAATTCAGACAAACAAATACTTATCTACTAACCTCAGCATTGTGAAACAGTACATTTTTTCTTAGAAACACTACGCACAACTTTTTCACAAAAACCCAAGCGGATTTTGGTTTTCTTGATAAAAATTGTTTGTACTTAGCATACTTCTAGTGTTTAGTTAATCCAAGCTTCTGTGGATTGCGTATTTGTCACAACTTGAAAACAAGCAAGAACAAAATATTCGGTAGAATAATGCAGTTTCTAACCCTCAACATGCTTGGAGTATTCAACAAAGTTTAATAAGGTGAACTGGTCAGCTAGAAAAAACCTACATACTTTAGTTGGGAATACAGAGATCCAAATAAAGTGGTGTTTTACTAAGTCTCATTAAAACATCTTATTCTATCAAAATTTCAGATACAATTAAGACCGACAATTATAAAAGATTGTTGTTTTTTTTTTCCTGAAGAAGTTAACAAATGGGTAATTTGATGACAAATTATATGCAAAATGCTTATGAATGGAGTGGAAAATAACCAACAGGTGAAGATTTAAATAAAATATAGAAGTTTGGCTGAAAGACTGCTTGCTAAAAAGACTTTAATTCGGGACTTTTTTCACAAGGCATCTTTTCATTTCCCGAAGTCTGCATCAGTTATTTGTGAATTACATTGTAAAGTATGATAACTGAAAAAGTATTTCAAAAGTTGGTGGATAAGATTAAAATTTCCTGGTGTGTCGGCGTCTGGGATTTAACAGAAACCAAAGCCATGTTTCAGCTCTTAATACTGAATTGTATGAGTCAACATGTTTTAGGGCTTTTTACAGTTGACTAACAGCTTTCGCATACATACTTAAATCATTCAGCAATGGATTTTCGTATATCTATTCTTTATTTATTAGTACTTGTGCTTTCCCAATGACTGTTATACTGGACCAAATTGATCGGTCTCTATTGGCAAATAAGCCCCTTGAACGGACTCTCCCATACTATCTGAAGAACATTTATAATGTAGTTTGATTGGTTATTGCAGGCAGTAGAGTCCAGGACATGCACAACAAGCGACTGTTACAACTTAGTAACCTAGTGGATAACTCTCTGATATTTGAAGCGATAGGTGCTGCCTTTGAGTCTCAGCGTGACGAACACTATTCACTGAGATGCAGGTACATTTATTTGGCAAATCTCGAATACGATGAATCGGGGTCCTAAATTCCACTGCTATCTAAATCCAATGAAATCAAACCCTATCTTTGTCCTAACTAACAGCTTTCCTATCTCTAAAAGCATCAGTGAGCAGTTTTCAACCCTTTGAGAATTTAACAGAAATAATTCTTTTTATCTAGGAGTTAATTACTCTGAATGATTAGTCGATATGTTAGTCTAAAATCATGTAAAATAATCTGATGTGTCCATATAACGAGTACAAGCAAAATGAAGTCCAACTTTGGTATGATTTTAACCAGCTATTGTACTTTTCAAAACTTTTCACAACTTTACAGTTTCCCTCTTTAAAGCAAATAGGATTACATACACAGTCGAGCAAATAAATTATGCATTTTGGATTTCAGTACATAGTAAATTAGAAAATACATTTTACGAATATAACCGTCACTCATATTGATGTGAAAACTAAATAAATTAAAGAAATACCGAATTAAAAAGGCTGGGAAAGCCATGTACGTAAACTCCGAAGCAAACTTCAGTCGGTCATAAATCTGAAATCAACAACAATCATAAGGAAAATGACTTCATCACGCGAACTAAATGTGTCTGCTTAAACCTCATCACTAAATATATATGAGAAGTGTTCATGATAACGTCAAAAGTATAGTGAGAAAATCGTTTTTCCTGCAGGTGGGTGCTTCATACTAAAGAGTGAAACTTAGCTCAGCACTTTTATCATATTGATTCGCACTCACTAGCATGATCATTATGATAATCAGTACTGAGAATATGCAAGCAGAATGTACTCCATTGCTGGAGATGTAACAATTTGACATGCATTAAAATCATTTTATTGCTGTCTGGAAACTTAAATGAAGTAGTTAAACAATAGCATGAAATAATGTTGTACCTAAACATGTATTTTGAAGTTCATATGTGATTTACTAATATGGCAAGACTGAATTTTGTCAGAAAATACCCTATGAAAGTTTTCTTTTCTGTTACCAAGTAAGTGTAATATTTATGTTTACTTGTATAGCTTGAAAATGACAATTCTGAAAGTAATTAATCCTTGCTGAGCATGACGTATAAGACAGTTAACCTTAGTACATTTAAAAGAATAAGTTCACTTTATGGTTATATAACAAGCTGCTTCACATATAATGCAGCTGTCTTGCAACAAATCGATGTATTCGAGCTCAGCGAAAACTGAAACATTTGCAGGAGAGAATTAAACTCCACACTGTAGTTCACAGATACTCATCAGCAGCATAAAACCTTGAATTATATATCTTAGTCATGCTAAATGACAAGTTAAAAATGATAAGTTGTATAATTATAGTTACATAAAAATGTTATCAAACAAACAAAAATTTGGGGAAAAGAATTCGTCAGACGACTTAAGAATTATGTAGACGCACAGTTAATCATGAAATATCAAAATAACTCGGAAGATGGAGAGAAAGATAAGATGTAACCAAAATTAAAAGTTCATTCACAGTATCTTTTTTATACCAAGGTTAGGGTTACAATGTTAGATTGAAAATACTTCAGCAAAGCACAAAGAACTTACCAAATTGTGTTTTCTATTCACTATTCTCAGCGTTTCGGAGATATCTGTTCAGTGTCTAGTTTTCATCAGGTGTCTGAATATTGTACTTCAAAATCATGATTGCCTTAAATGCAGGAACTACTTGGGGTCATAAAACTAACTAAATACCCTCCTATCAGTTTTTCTCTGTACTTGCTTCCACGAGTAATCAGGAGGTTAATTTTGATGGTGCTGTGTTCATTATCAAAATCACCTTACTATAATATGTAATCCGAGATTTGTGCATTTGCTGAAAAACTTTAAATTGTGACGACGTAATTTATTCTGTGAATGTAACCATTCTTGCTTTTTTTGAATTACTCAGTGGAGCCATTTTTATGAAATTTGCACATTATAGTATAAAACGGGAAGCATACTTTTGTACGCATTTACATAAGAAGATATAGACGCAACGTGCAAACTCAGTTGAAAAGTATTACCAATGCGATTCATGGTGGCACATCTTGTTTGTCTATAGGTAATTGGAAAGATGTCTGAATTTTAACAGCAGCTGTTAGGGTTGGAGCAAAACAAAACAGTCATCATAAAAAGGACAAGAATAATAATATGATTAACACAGTAATAAAAGATTTGTCATATAGAGAGAAACAGAATAATCTTATATAATGTACCACATCCATGATGAGAAATCTGGGATTTTTCTACCAAATACCTATTTAAAAAATTCACAATCATTATTTGCACTGGTAACCCTTTTCAACTGAATTTCCTCGTTGTATCTACAATTTCCAATATAAATACACACAAAACTGTTACCCATTTTATTCCATAGTAATTTTCTATTTATTCTAGGCTGTTTGCATCTGAGGAGATACCATGAAATAATTATGAGCTCAGATTATCCCGTTTTCACCGAATAATGTCTGTCTATCCATAACGTTCATTGGTCGGTGGTCTGCTTCACAACTTCTTAACAGGACACCACACTTAAGTGCATTCTTGACAGTAGCATAAAACACAGTATTAGAGGTATATATTTTGGGATATAAACGTTCATAAATATTAAATAAACAAGGTCCGTTTCAAAGATGGAGATATTCATGAGTGAACTGTAACGACCAGCTTTCGATAGGTTTCCGTCTAGCTTGTAGATAGGTGCGTTGTTCCAGTGATGTGTATAGCGGAAGGGAATTTTAGTGGTTACCATGAGAATCTGGAAACGAAAGAGGGGGAGAAAAATGTGAGCCGACTGCTCAACAAGTACAGAACCATAGAAAGTTACACATGAACTTTGTGTGCAGCCAACAAAACCTTGTAATCTAACTCAATCCTTGTCATTCTGATGCGAATGTGTTGAAAATTCTTTGTACTTTGGGCCACTGTACCTACGTGTAAGACAACCAGGGTGGTCAGCGCATTATGTTAGTGAATAAAGTCAAGAAATTAAAAGAAGCGAAATTAAACACCTTGACAGTAAAAATTGTTTCTGTTGCATAAAAACGCGAACAAGCACTTACTTTCGCATTATTCTTGATTTCTTTTGGTGTTTCTGATGGCAACAGACAAAACAACTGAACTGATGATGCATACCAGTCGTTCTGCTTACAGTTTAGCATCCGAAAGGAAATACATTATTCCTGTCTACAGCTTCTTAGTGTAAGCGAATTCCTTTTCAGTCATAAAACAGAGGAAACTACATTTTAGAAAAAGAGCCTATTACATCAGGTTACTTTTCATCTAACTTTACTGTCCACTACGAAATTATGAGAGGTAGAACCTTCTCTTATAGCAATAGTGACCATTAATTATCATGAAGCAACTTAGCTGAGAAAAACTAATAAGATGTAACTTATTTGAATTCACCGGCATTTTATGGAAGAATCCAATCTGAAATTACTATAAAAGCCCAAAACTAGTATTTTATACCTAAGTTCCACTACATTGGCTTTTTTATTAGAGGATTTTCAACATATTTCAGTCTTACATATTTTCTGCAATGAGCCTTATCCCGGAAATAAAACAAGTCAATCGGTTCGTATTTATGACTAAAAATTGCAGTGACTGTTCAACACTGAAATGTTTATCAAGCATATCATAATTTTTCGACAGGAATTTATTTTGAGTTCTGTTTTCCGATTTACAAACACTTGGCACTATAGTCTGTAGCATGGTAGTAAAGTTTTTATACTGTAATAGACGTGAGAAATTAAAGGCTCTAGTGTAGTCCAAAAAACTGCATAAAAACCCAACTGAATTAACACTAAATGCTGATTTTGTGGGAATAAAGCTGATGAAGACTGATAGGATTAACTATTAAGAAATTACAATGACCATGGATAAAATATTACAACCTTTCATTCGACATAGTGTTTTTTTAAATAATATCTTCATTGAACTTTTGAGGTAAACTATCCTTCGGTTCCCAATGCTTCTTTGCTTGGTGTCTTTAGTTCCGTCAGAAATTTCTCGCTTACGTCCGTAAAACCTCTGCCAATTAAATGTCATTTCTTAATTGTTTAACCGGCGTCATGGCACTGTATACCACTTAAATATACTCTTTTAAGTGGCATATGACATAATATTACCTTTTTTCTCTACGTTACAACTACATAACTGTCATACATTGCCTAACTCTTAATTTAATCGTTGCAGGTGTAAATACTTCAGAGGTAAGAAGATTATGGGTGATTGGGAAATAAAAGTAGAACAAGTAAGTGAAAGTTCAGAACTAATTCTATTCCAAAGGGTATTTCCTAATTTAATATTTTTTAAATGAATTTACTGGATTAAAATGAAATTAGTCAAGGTGAACTCTTTTGTATTAACTTTCTTTTGCAGTAATTCATTTTCTGCTTGATTAGTCTACTATTTATGACAAGATATCGGTTTAGAATTTTAAACAGAAATCTATTTGTTTTATCTCTAATTAGCATTTTTCTGTCATGATCATTAAATTCTTTTTTGTCTAGGTGTTTTTCAGTGCAAAGCTTTTTAAGGTGGAAAAAACTTAGTTGATGAGAGATAAACTGAAATGTTTAGGTAATTCATGAGCTAAAGTCAGGTAGTACAACATCACTAGGCACGAAAACGTGTTTGGGCTAAGTTTCGTGCTTGTTAGCACTCGGAGACATACGTTATCTGCAACCTGCAGGAAACTCATATTTCATAAAAGTATCTAATCTGCATCACTCAGTGACGATGTTGTACAACTAACACCAAGCAATCCAAGTGATCAATAACCTTCTACTCAGAGGACTGGATTATGTACATCAAGTGGTCACTACATGTGGACCGAATTGCCTACCAAGCTCTCAGTCTTGATAGACATTTATCAATTTGTTGTTGCCTTCTTACTTTAAGTTGCTCTTACTTCTGCTTTTTCACTGCGGAAGCCAAAGGCTATGCATGCACATTAAAAGGATGCGATGACACTCAATCTTATTGAAAGACAAATGATATGTCTTACTAATTAGCAAATATAACTAAAATGTTAACTTTCACACTGTCCAACCGTAGATAAGTATCGTTACCTCTTCATATAGTAACTTCCTGCATTTCTGATTATAAATATAAATAACAAAAGGGTTAGACGTTTAAGTATTACATAGATGCCCTTTTTTCTTTTGTCTTTTTTACCACTGATTAGGGATTTTTATTGTGACAAAGTAGTAATCATCTTATTTGTTTCTCTTTATACTAACTGAATGCAGTCACGGCAGTGATGTGAATTAGAGGATATAAAATCGAAGATACTTTATGATACTTGCACTGGGAAAGTTTAGCGGAAAATATCCACATTAGTGATGGAAAGTAACTTCTGAGACCTCATACTTCACGGAGTTCGATAAGTTGACTGCTGTTTGAACTACATTGCGAACACTAGTTGACCTCAAAAATGAAGCAGAAAATCACCTTTGATGTCACTGTACACAGATGACTATTTGAATAAATTCATTTCGAAGACAGTGGGGACCTTTGGCCAGGTAGTTTTTGGATATGTCAAAGAATGATAAAGCACTATTGATGATAAGCTGAAACAGTGATACAGACCTGATATACAAATGAGTACGGTTGAAAGTGCTAAGCTGAATCCAGTAGTAATGGACAGGCGTACTAAGCTAATCTTATGCACCATATCAGAGTATGTTACTTGTAGGGAAATATGCCAATACAAAGCGTTATGGCTAAACCAAGGCACATTTTAAATATCAACATTTCATTACCTCAGATTATAAGCACTATTCAATGCCGTACAAAATTTGGGCTTGTTTATGATAGTATTTTTCAAGAGTTTTTATGTTTCACTTCTGTAAAATAGCTGAAGTCTTTCATAACCTTAAAAAATTCTTTATTAACGCACTATTACAGAAAAAACAAGGGGAGGCTTTGAAGTAACACTGAGCACAACTCTTAATTAACAGCAGATTGAAATATGGTTATGATCTAAACATGTACATAATAGGTAACCACTGGAGTTATAAGATTAGATGAAATAGCCAAAGAGACATTGCATTATCTATTTTTATGTACGTGAGGTCAAGCAGAAGTCATATAATTTAGTTCCTTGGCACACAGACAATGACCTAGTTTCAAATATAGTTACTACTGTTTCTATCCTTGGTCTCACAGCTTTTCTACAGTGTTTGTTTTCTTAAGAATTTAGTTCACATATTTTTTGATATCTAACTTTTATTCACTTCACCCTACACTAACTCAACTTTTTATAAATTGAATTTTCATTTAAAATAACACATTCAAATATACTCTTGATATTTACATTGAATAAAATAATTTCGTGTCATCACTGTTAGCAGTGATCAAACAATAAATTATGAATAAACTAACTATCTAGACTAGCTTTTGTGAGTAGTATCCTATGGCCTGAATGAAAGAAACTGAACTGCTAGGAATTCAAACCCATAGTCTTAAGGTTGCTGAAATGCACAAGTACTACCGTAGTACATTAGCACCTGAACGCTTCCCAGTCCCAGGGTAATTGTGTGTAATGGTCAGTGATTAAGATGGAAATGCTGCTCTGCCAGCCACTTGGATCCTTGGCTGAACTAACGGAGAGTCTGGCCAATAACGTGGAAGTTTCAAAATCTTTTTGTCATAGATAAAGTCTTTTCACTTCACGCCATATGGAAGAAATGAGTACCTCAAACATGCACATATTCATGTTTAGATGATTTGAATCTACTTGAAGTAAAGCCATTCAATATAATGTACAGTTTATCAAACGTCATCTGGTGAATCAATGATTTTATTTAATAAAAAGTGATTTTTTTATACAAGCCAACCCTCAACAGGTTGAAAGTACTCATAATGATGAAAGACATCGATAACTCAAAGATAAATAGACTCTTTAAAGATTCTGTGAAACTTGACAACTACCAGCTTGAAAATGAAGAGTTAGTTTCGAGGATAAAATACAGAGAGCTCGATCGTAATGACAGATAGTGGCTAGCAGTGAAATATGAGATTCGTGTTTTGTCCCGTTTGAGACTCGTCAACTGGATGCACCAGCTTCCCGGTGAGTGATGGTGCTTCCTATGAGACTTGAATCCAGAACCCATTACTGCAAGTGCTAGGGCATTTTAACTAGATTACTGACTGACAGTAGCCAATTTTTCAGTGTGACAGACATAGTTATGATGTTCTGGCTTGTAATTTCTCATCGATGACTGCACCAAATTGGTTGGCCACATGACACCACTGGAATGTAAAGAAGTCTCACTTTTGAAGTAAAACGTCTGAATTTTATTAATGCGAATTCTTTGCATTAGTAATGAAAAGTCTGGGTAAAATATTGGGTCACTTCTTTTCTTTCCACTAGCAAACTTTGTGAATAGTTTCGAAATTGAGTGAAAGAGTTTTTATAGCAGTACACCATAAACCAGTATTGTTTTACTAAAACTAGTGATACAAACGACTGGCTACATTACCACTTTCTACAAAAAAAGAATATTAAACATTAGTCCATCAGTTCAGCTGCTGAACATAAAACATAAGTAGTATTAGAGAATATTCTCTTTGGAATGAAACGTTTTCAACGCTTCCTAATTCTCCATATTTTTTTTACAGACGATTCAATTTCATAGGAAAAAGGTAACCTGAACCCTGGTCCATTTCCACCTCAGTTACTTTGGAGGTTAGATCCAGATTCCCATGTGTTGTGTAGCAGTAAATATTAAACAGTATAAAAAAAGGACTGACCACAAAACCTTTTGTAGCATAGTATGAAACAATTAGGAGATTAAAGTTCCTTTACCTTATATGGTCTACTGAGCAAATTTAAGAGCTAAGTAATATAACTGGCTTTCCCAGAAAAATCCATGGTTACTCATTTAAAGCGTCAACAAAAAATGTAATGTAAGAGAAATAACAAGTATACTGCCCGTCAGAAGCACCTGTAATTAACTTTCAACTTTTTATGACTACTCTTCCGAAATTTATTTTGAATGTATAATGGTCACTCATACCACAATAACTAGACGCTGCATGAATGGTATGATTCATGTAATTTTTATTCATTTGAAAATGTTCTGGGATTACAATGACTGCAATAAATAGTCGGATTTCATCTTTATGACATATACACAAACAAATTTTCATGCTTCATTCATTTATGTGTCAGCATATTTACTACATATTGGTTTTGAGCAACCAGAGAGAAAAGTAGCTAAAAGTGAATTCATTCTCTAACGACGTGCATCTATAGGCAAAGGACAATAAGCCACAACTATTTTGTGAGGGCTTAAGATACTAGCTGGAGGACCAAATCTTGATAGGTACAGCAGGTTTCAAACCCATAACTTATTGGTTGGAAGTTAAACGTCTTGACCAACGAACCACAGCTTCAAAACAATCAAAAACCATAAGGATAATCAAAACATTTCATGATGAAAGTTGTTCATTTCAGCTGCTTTACATTTCATTTCTTCATCCCTCACCAACATGATGAGACTATTAGTACCACTACTTTTAAATCATGGCTTCTGTCGTTGGTCTTTTCAGACTAGGATCCTTTAATATCTAAAAATTTTATCCAAAAATGCTATCCTCAATAAGATCATCAAAAGGGTGTTTTTTTAAGCTACAAAATTTGGTCAGTATTCCTGAATTATCTTCAGTAGACAAGCGAATTGATTCAGTCTAAATAATAATCGCTATTTTATTAAACAACCAAATATTCAACTGAAGTCATGATGAAGCAAAAAGCGAAACTTCTATGTAACCTATATTTTGTACTACATAGGGTCACAAATTAGAATATGACAATGATAAAATTATTCTGAAATGCTTTAAAAGTTATGCAGAACATTTCATTGTGAAGTTTTTTGACATAAAATGGAATCAAGTTTACTAGGTGGAGTCCAAATTGACTAAATGGGAATGAAGGGATGGAATATGGGCTGAACAGGTTTTTTCCCACCTCTGCAAATTGTCATGGCAGACAAACTTGAGATCACTGAAGAATAAAAACTGGGTACTAGGATGGATTATAATTCTATATTAGCTTAGTCTATTTGGTATAATGTACATTTGTATCTGGTAAATAAACTATAATAACTCGTTTATTTGCAAACTTCAGTTTATGATTCACACATTGAAGACACTTAATACAACTAATAACAAATGTTCGCTGGCAAATTTCAATCACTTGACAACTCCGAAGCCCCCAGGAAGAAAGATCTTAGAGTCGGATATCATATATAAGCTCGAATATTTCAAATTCCAGTTTACTACTACTTCGACAAGGCTACTGGCACTAAACATCGAAATGTCAATTAAACCAACGTCTTCGTTTTTTATTCGCTTATCAATGTACATGCCAAAATACTTATAATAATTTTTCTGTTTATTTAAAATTTCAGGCTCAGTTTTCAGAGATCACAATGACAGCCTATAGTGATAATGGTTGCGTCGTCAGTATCTATCATGATCAAATTCCTTCCAAACCTCTCAGGTAAGTCTTTAAAGCATTGTATTTAAGTCATCCAAATCTTAATTTTTTTCCCAATGAAAAGAAGGTAGTCTGTTCCTTTGAACTGTCTCGAACTCGAATGAAATAGCTCTAAAGTAATCCAAAGTATTCACTGACTTTCCAAATACTGACAACCCGTAAAGAAAATTTCCTTTAAACCAACCAGTCCTTGCAAACCATGTGCTTAATTACTGTCGACTTCTCAATGGTGACTTGCTTCGAGATAATTTGGCCGAGGTTCTAATGAGAATTTGTGACATGTAGCTGTGAAGACAAACATTCTCTGATGACAGTTGACCCGTTCGGTAACGTACAGTAAACTGATGGCAGTAGGAAAATTTAAACCATTAGATTCCAACTAAGTGGCTAAGTGGTTACGTGCTGGTTGTCAAGCCTAGTGGTCCTGCACTCACTCACTCACTCACGAAGTTATGGCGGTGTTCCTCACAAGATTCTCAAACTAGAGGGGAAATATCATCTAGTATTTCCAGGTTTTCAGTGATTCATCAACTGCTGGCAGTCTGTGATGAAAACTTGGATGAAACCAGTCTATCCTAATAAAACGGTATCTAAAACGAATTATTATCATTTTGCGGCTTATTATGATCTATAAACAGCCTTAGGTCGTAATACTTAATGAGGTATTTAAACGGAATAACCACACATGGAGTAACTAGGCAGAAATCACAATATCCCAGCGAATCAGAAATACTCAGCTGAAATCTCAGATTATTGTCTAAATCTATGAACAACTTTAAATGATTCGGTGATAGTTTTCCAGAATATAAAACATAGGCACAAAAAGTAAAACAATTTCCTATAAATCAACCAAGTAACTTAAAATTGGCAATAATTTATCTAGAAACCATCAGTAGTAAGGCACAAAACAAAGTTTTTCAGTTGAAGCTCATTTCAAAATAACGTTATTAAAATAATGAGAGCGATGTCTACAGCAACGATTTTAAATAAATTCAACTTATTTTTCTAGTTTCATTTTGTTAGTTGTGTCATGGAAACCGAAAGTATGAAGTTTTAAATTCACTGCTTATATGAAACAGGTTTTGTACTCATTTAAAGTATTATTATTCAGAGAGGGTCCGGGTATGACAATCATTCATCAACATATGTGCATGTCTGTTTTACTCGAAACAGAACCGAATAATTTAGTGATAACGGACTATTTGTAGCTATTAGATTTTAAAGAAGCGATATGTAGTGCAATCAACGCTGACGTAAGCGATACACTAAGCAGCTACCATGCAATATCCATTTTCATTTTTCTAAATCTTCAATACTGAGTCTCTTCCACCAACTTCTGAATTTTATCGCATAACCATGTTAATCGATATTCATATATGCTGAATTTGTTGCTAGGTGTTTGAAAGCTGTCACCGGAACATAAATGTTAGGGACCGTGGATACTTGAAGTTTTCAGTACTGACATACTGACTGTCATGTATAGTTGTTTTTAGGCAGTTCTCCCCTGTACTTTGCATTCTTACGGTTCAGTCGGACATACCAAGAACACTTATCTATTTCCTCTTTCTTTCGCATTAAGATGAAACTACTAAGGCACGACCACTCTGTAAGTGGTAATCTACTGCACATATGTAGTAATACGAGTGCCGACAATTATCATCAAATAACCTTCTTTCGATGTAACTTCATTCCATTTATAGTTTCATTTCTACATTGTCTTAGAATCTTATTGTCTAACAAGAAAATGCTAGATTCAACTCAATAAATTCACCCAACAATCGTGTAGAATCAGAAGACTACTTGATTTTCTCGTAACAGTGATTAGTAGTTCTATATGTAATTATATATATATATATGCACTTACATTCGAGATAATACAACAGCAAATAGCCTACAATCTATAGTGTGCAAAGGATGAAAACGAAAAATCTGGCTGAATGCCAAAACACAACTACAACCAATGAAGTGATAGCAGACGAACAACAGTGGGCAATCAACGTAAGTAAAGAAAATAGGATCAAAAGCATCAGTTACTCATAAGCAATACAGTTATTAACATTATGAAATATTGCAAGTAATTAGAGTCTTTAAAATAGCTTCGAGAATAGCTCTTTTGGTCCTATTATGCTCCGTTCAGCGTACTTATATTTCTTAAGTGAACGGAAAGCTTTAGTGAAAAAACTCCAACACATCGGGTGGAACCGGAGTTCGTTTAAGTAACCTTAGCTGGATAAAGTGAGTTCATTCCCATGATATCTGAATAGGCCGGATGCCATATCTTTGGATAGCTAGAGATTCTAGGTATATGATAAGAATCGATAGTATAAAATGTGATTACCAATTATTTTCTAACTTTCCACTTAAGTGCATTGGTAAATAAAGAGCAGCTTTTAGAGGATGTACCAGAGCCTTTGTCCTCATGGTCAACCTAAACACTAACTGAAGCTTGAGTGACGTGGAAAATGGATCCTCTTAAAAGCTGTCTTGAGCTACCATAACCTGCAGCTTCAGAACACAATAATGGAGGCTGGATCATTAAGAAAGGAAACATGGAAATGCCACCTAAGTGAACCGTAACTATTGATCACTTGCTGCAACTACATCCGGAAAATTATTTCTTCAAAGATGGTTTAGACAATGAGCATAAAAGGGGAATGATGTTTGAATTTCCACCCCAAGATAAACGAAAATGGACCACTATGATACTGGTTATTGTAGAGAAATGCATTTTAGAATTTTTTGTTTCCTTTAGAACACTTCCCCTAAATCTTAGCTGAAATACTCCATTTATTCATGCACCTAAGTGCAAAAGAACTGAAAAGATAGGTTAGTTGGACCTCTGATCCTAGCTTAAGGACAAGAGCTAATAGAAAAAAGTTTTGAGAAGCATTAGTTCAGAAGTAAACGAAATTCGGTAGCCATGCTTATTCTGATTATACATAGCAAACTGTAAAAACAGCTATTAAACTATTCAAGAAATGAAAACAATATGAAAAAGAGTCCGCTGACTTCACTATTTTCATCCAACTACAGAGTTAAGGGAAGGCTTGTTTCTAATTGTTTTGGCCACAAGGATAGGTACCAGCAACTCTCGTGTGGGTTAAAAAAACTCAAATGGTGACATCAATGTGAGGAATGTTACGCGGATGATTAATTTTACTTTAGTTACCATGAAATTAGTTAGATTGAACCTTTCAACCACCTCTCAAAATTTTACTGAACTTAAGACGTCTGTATTATACACAACCTAAAAGAAGAAAAAGGTTCTAAAAGTGGATACATGAGATCTTCAAGCGTATTGGTTTCTGATTAACATTCCAACTAACAAAAGCATAAACTGGTGTGCATGAATAGGATACGTCTCTCTATTACTCAATTTCTTTGTTGGTATTGTGGTTTAGTATCCATGTGTTGTAAAATATAATTAGACTGAACAATGTAAAAATATCTCTGTGTATCTATTTTGTCTATTAGGCTCCAACAAAGTTATAACTCTTTTAATTTCTTGTTTATCCACCTTCAGTGTTTGGCTGTAAACGATAGTTGCATTATTTGAAGATTATGAGATGAACATGAAGCTGCATGAACGTTTTAAGATGAAAAGGGAATACCTAACATGAGTTTATTATTTCTCAAGTGTGGAATGCTGTTCTGAAACTGAAGTACACTAAGAACTAGTTTGGACTAAAGTTTAAATTGACTGAGGACGCTGAGCACTCCAAGCACGTTAGCATTTGTGGTCACCAAGATCTTGACGCATGATGAAAAATTAACAGATCCAATTATTGGAGCACTCAGCCTAAAATGTCGTATCGTATGTGATACTGTGTCATAGTGCGCTATATCAAATAAACAAACCATTTATCTAAGTTTGTCATATCATCAAAGCTTCAACTTCTGCTTTATTATTTTCCTCATTCTTTATTTTTACTTCAGTCGTCAAAAAAAGGCTCTTGAACTTTGTCGTTCAATATTTATATCAGCTTTATTTATATGACATCTTGTGAAAGAATATATGTTACTATAAATATCATGGTTAGCTTTTTAATAAATTCAAATTCATCAGTCCCTTGGACTTGCTACACTTTCTGAAATGAGAAATACGTTTAAGTGAAGTACTGTTTTCTCAAACTTTCGAAGCTAATTCCGCGTCTCTTTACGTTGAAATTTGCTTCTAAACAATGGTAATTCTGAAATTCTTCGTTGCCTAATTACTTTCTTTTCAAACTTTTAATAGTGATTGATATTTATGACCTAAAAGCTATTACTCATTTACGGAGACTCCTTCGGCTATGTAAGTCACAGTGGTAGAAGTATAGAATTCCACCATCTTTGAGCGCTACTGCTAACTGACACCAACCACACCAATGGCAAAACGACTATTTCCTTAATGCATTTCAACCGAAAACTGAAAAAAGGTAACAGCGGATAAAGCAGTTGAATGGGGTTGAGGAATCTATTTATCCAATCGAGCGATTCTTACCGCCTGAAGTTAAAGTTTATACGATAAAAATATTCATCTAAATGACTTCACAATACTAAACCAAGTTAGCTGTGGCATGTAAAGATCGAGTCTTCGTAAGACTATAAATCACCTTTACATTATTTGCATTATTCCTTACAGAAGGATTCGCGAATTAGAACTTGGGAATAAAAGTTAGGTGTCAGGGTCACGATGTTGGATACTGAGTTTATTTTAAAGTTGTAAACTCTATAATTAAGTAAAAAGGGCTTGAGGATTTAGAAAAAGTTACTGACCAGGTTTTACGTTGTGCTACCTGATACTTAAAAAATGTAATATGAATATCATGTTCATTTCATTATCTTTAGGGCGGGAATTTGACCAATTAGAAAATCCAGTAGAATTAGCATACAGCGCGAAACTATTACTTTAGAAATACTTATCTTGGTTCCCATTGATTTAATCGTCATTAGAATATTGCACAAGCAAGTCTATACTCAGCAAAACACTTTCAAAAATGTAAAACTCTCTAAGACCACCACATTTGCACTTCTGGTATCAATAATCACTTCAAGATCGCTACACAGTATCTCTACGACAAAAAATTCTGCCATTCTACCATGACACACGTCATGTATTTTTATCAAAAGAAATCTTCGGTAGAAAAATTCTGTCTTTCAAGTAGAGAATCAACATATTTCGTACTCATTGTACATTGATAAAATGTCAAATTGTTTAACAGAAATGTTTCACAGTTTCACCAATTTCTGTTTAAAGAAAAAGTGTGCTACAATTAAATGTGTAGGCCACTGCACTTAAAATGCTACTGGTGTACAGTGATTGGATGATCACTGATAAATTCACAACTTATATTAAAGGAATTTGAAAAGAATTTGATTACTTCAGTACCTCGCTACATTAACAAGTTATGTATTGATATTGATTGGAAACAATGAAATAAATTTGTATTTGTCAGGTAAGTTGAATAAAATATATAGTCAGCATGCATAACTTTTGAAAAAACGGAAAGAATAGGCAACAAGGAACTCTGGGAACGAAGCAACCAAGAACCTATCGCTCAACAAATATGCAGAAGAAAGTGGAGATGGATTGGGCATACACTGAGAAGACCTACTGGGGACATCACGTCCCAGGCCCTTGAGTGGAACCTAGATGGGAAACGATGAATTGGGTGTCCCAGCTGAGGGTGATATGGAGGAGATCGTGCGAGGAGGAAATGAGAGCTTGTAGACTGTCGTGGAGCCAGGTTCAAGAGATTTCAGGTAACAGAGTTCACTGCAGACGTGCTACTGAAACCTTATATTCCACTAGGAACCCAAGGGACAAATAAAATAATAATAAATAATAACTATCTGAAGTAAATCGGTGTCTGTAAAGAAATAAATTTCTCGATTTTCTTTCAACCCATATATTTCATTTCTAGTATACATTTAGCACTTTCAAAAAATGCAGTGATTTAAAACAGACAAAACTCTTATATTTTATGCATTACATTGATTTGTTTTACTTATACGAGTTTGTGTCAAAATCAGCTTTTTATTCTATTTTAATTCAGATCATTTAAACCTGACTTTGTGCTTATTCGACAACATCCCAGTGAATCAAATGAAGATTGGCAACCAATACTAACAGGACTTATGTATGGTGGAACACCCTGTATGAATACTTTGCATGCGGTGTACAATATGAAAAATCGGCCATGGCTTGTAAGTTTATAATTGGTTAGATTAAAGCCGTACATTCAATCTTTTCATTTGTAATTCATTCTTTCTTCCTTCCCATTTCTGCGTCTCTTAAGATTAGCAGAAATTACCTGTAAAGCATTTTGAAAATCAAATGTATTTCATCAGTTAGTTAAGATTACTGAAAACACCTGATTGGTGGCATCCTAATACCGAAATTCTATCCGCCCTCGTTATTATTATAAAGAAGGAATAAAAAGACACCTGAATAAGATAAAAAATATTTGTAGCTCAGGAAGATGATTTTGATGCTGTTGTGTTCTCTGACCTAGAGTGCTTAATCGTGAAGCTTTCGTTGTCATTCTAGACAACGTAATCAGCAAAAACTTCAGAAAGAAGTGAGTGGCTTGTTCAGATGACCTTGTGTATGAAAGATGGTTTCTGCCAAGTTCTTGTCACTGTCTAAATGTTTATTTTGATTGGCTGTCTTGATGACCAGAATCTTGTGTGGATGATGTTGTCTTGAATAACAACGAAAGCTCCACGACTAAACAATCCAGCTCAGAGAACACAATACCATCAAAAGATTTGAGTGTTCTTTTACACAACAGATGTGAATATGATGACATCTGGAACCAACCACTGCTCACACTTTCTTTTAGCTAGGAAAATATTCTTTACCTGACACTTTTCTTCTGGCAAATAATACTTTGGCTCAAGCGTTTTGAAAAGCTTAAAGGTTTATGCGAATCTCGAAATTGATTAACTTTCCCATTAGCTTTTTTTGTGCAGGTAGTAAATAGGTTATTTCCATCGGCCAACCTTTCACTCCTTTTCATTAGAATCGTGTTCTCGGATTGAAGAAGTATGGAATATTTTATGTACATGAACTATTACTGGTCGATTAACAGTTAACCACATTTTGGATATCAAGTGTTGTACCTAATTCACTCAGTAATTTATTTACCATGGGTGTTACACATTAGTTCAAATTAGGTAGGGAAAATAAATTGACTCTAGGTAGCTTCACTGCTACACATCCAAAACTTAGTCGTGCTTAAGAAAGTATGAACGGGATAACTAACGAATTACTAACCAGTTATCACTTTTTTGTCAGTTATTTATCATACTGCTCCGTAGAGCATTAGGTCAAGCGTAAAAATGGTTAACCATAGAAGCATTATTCTGTGCTCCTTAGATCATGTTGGAAGCAGAAAAAAAGAATAATTAATATCTTCCTCAAAATCAAAAAAATAAATCTACTTCATAGAATTTAGACAAATTACTGACGTGACAAAAATAACTACATCCTTGATATGCTTCTAAAAATATATGGTAGCCAATGGTGAAATTCGTAGAACACTTATCATTCAATTTGGGAAGTGTTAGATGATCATACTGACATCCTCTTCTGAATTTCCCAATGAAACCCGAAGCTAGAATCAGTTGTCTAAATCACCAAGACGTTATCGATAAGGATACTGGGTTGTAATAACCACGACTTATTCCACAGCTATCAGTTTATCGTTTTCGTTATATTGATATGCAGACAATATTTAGGCATTCATACATGAAGCTCATACATTAAAGCAAGGTGATGATTTCAGTTCTGTCTTTAAACAACCAGAAAGAATGTTACTTCTGACAGCAAATGACCAACAAAATTTCTTGATGATCACACGTCACGTTACATAAAAAATGGATTTTAAATTTAGAACTGGACACCACTGACATAGAGTTGACGTCTCCAACATTCATAAGCAAATCAATCTGAAACGATGACAAGTATCAACCTGAAATCGCTAAATAAATCCCTACAAACCTCCAAATTGAATTAATCTGAAACAAGCACTATCTGATCACTTCTTTAGAACCCAAAATTACCTCTTTCAGTAGTGTTAATGTTGCAACCTCTAATTTGCTAGTAACCATTCCTTTATATTTTAAACAGACATGCAGAACCATTTTCAAACTACTCACTGCTCTTTCATCATGGTGGTTCAACCTTGTGTTCTAATGAGTTAACTCTTTTTAATACTAAAAAAAATGTAACTGAATGCTTCTTAGCTGCAGGCTTTTTTGTTCAAATACGCCGAAGCTTTAGGTTAGAATTAAAATCTACTCGTACACTGAAAACCACAGTTTTAACTTTGATAAAATATACAAACCATGGGTTTCATAAGTAAGACATCAAGAATTATGCATTCTCATTTGCTCAATTTAGTCGAGCTTAAAAATGTGAATCATATTAAGCAAACAATACTGGTTCAATTTAGTCGCATACACTGTTTTTCAGTCTCAAATTAGTTGATGAATTGACAAAGAGATTTTACTATGCATTATTACATTTCTAGAAAACTCAAATATCACTGAACTCTTTTGCTGACGGTCTGGCTTTCGAGTTTTGCTCTAAACTGATCCCAAAAAAAAAAATTTTTATCATAGATTTGACAAATCAAACATTTTTAATTCGCTTATCGCGCTTCAGTTTTTAAGATATTATTGTAACTAATATGCGATAACAAAAGAACTATAGCTACACTATATTGTTTCATTCTGTTTACAGTTTGCTCATCTCCTAATGCTCAGAAATCGATTGGGCAAGGAAACCTTTCCGCTAATATCACAAACATATCACACAAGTCAGAAAGAAATGGTAAGTGTTAAACGGAAACTTCAACTTGAAATGAAGTGCATGATTTGAGTAATTCAGCATTGTTTAGAAATGAAATAGGTCATCTATGAGAGTGAATGATGACACTTCACCATTGGTGAACGGTTTTACGAACCAACTGGTGTAATGAACAGCAGTGCATATCTGAAAACATGAGAAAACTGGTGTTCGTTTGGTGTTTCGAATCTACATCTCTCAGGCTTGAAGTCAGACACTTTAACAATAAGTTATTCAGGCCCTCACTGACACAGTTGACTATTTGTGACGTATTCATTGGGTTGACCATGTATATAGTTATTTATGCTGTGCACCATTATTCGAACGTAAATATTTTAAAAATATGAATTCTGACGTATCTTGGGAGCAATATATGATTTCACCGAAACAGGAAGTTATCCATAGACTGTGAACAACTAGTGAGGCTTCGATGAAGCCGAAGGAAGTCATTGGGGATCAGACATGTGGTTTTTCCTTTATGCTTCAGTCATATATATATATATATATATATATATATATATATGTATTTGACCAATACAAATAACTGATGAGCGGTTCGCCGACGTATTTGACAGATAGTAAGGTCAACGATAAAAGAATATGGTTTGCGCTTCTCTGGTTTGTCAAAGATAGATACTAATGTTAACTGGTAAGCAACATAAGACTACGAAATACTGCACAACGCTTTCATACCATTCTAGAAGCCCCTGCAGTAGGTATTCTTCAGTTCAAGCATAAAGCTATCTAATACTTACAGCTCAAGTGAATAGTACATTGTCAATGAGTCATAAAGTCAGATTCAAGTGCTCAATGCTTTTAAAACTTTCTACTACATTACAATACCACGGAGTGAAATTACCAATGAATTATCATCATCTGAAATATCCGATAATAATAAATGTTTCCGTAGCTTCAGGCTAAAAGGACTATTATATTGACAAATTTCCTCTTGCAAACTACTTTCTTCCAAATCCTGTCTAAGCGAAGTTCATTATCCTTTTATTGCTGGAAGATGCGTGGAAAATTCAGTATTTGTGCTGAAATCAGTCATCATTTTGGAATCTTTTTTGCATAAAACATTTTAGTCTTGATTTGGTTTTTCTAAGCAGATTTAAACTGTGCACCCTTTTTACTACTAACGAGGACGAAAGTAAATTAAACAAAGTTGTTAGTCCTTGAAGTAAACTACATCTGTAGAAGGTCAGGCTCATCGAACATTCTTGGAAGGAAATTTGATGATTGTCACAAAGACTTATTCCCCTGAATTCCTATTGTTCAGTACTTATTGCCCGATAGAAAATTGGTGTAACATTGCTTCGGAAAACGTTTCCAGAGTTCCAGCTTTAATTCAGGGGAGTTGTCCCATTCAATCTGTCATTGTTTCCATGTAGTTTATTTACCTATCGAAAATCTCAAAATGTTCCGTAAAATTGATAGAAGTATTTGGATTGTAAAATTTTTTGACGGAAAACTTTTGTTTACTTATAGTGAGTATTTCAGGGCAATTTACATCACGAACTGTTATCGTTTGTAGAACTGTTGAAATCTAGACAACTGTTAAGTACCCTCAAGTTCTTGCTCCTCATCTGTACACAATGAAAACTTCCTTAAAACCAATCAATCCAAACAAATCACCAAGTGATTAGAGAACATCTGTTTATTCCACTTTGAATTCGTATGAACACAGAAATAATAATTCCCAAGCTAATAACTTCAATACTTAAAAAAAAGAAAATGTGAGTTATTAGCGACATGAAAATACTGAAATCAAGGAAGGCGTATGTCACATTATAAGCTGTCAGAATGAATAATTTAGATCAATTAACAATTATGAAGTGAGTCAGCAAAAACAGAACGAAGATTTTCAGTGGATCCTTTGTAGTTAAACAACATGACACTATACTTCACAGTTTTGAAATATATCTGAGTTATTATTCTTCATGGAGTTATTTTTTCATTTGAAGCTGTGTATGTCACCTATCAATTTGTGTGGTCAAATACGAAACAATGGGGAAAAACACTTTCTTACTCGTAACAATAAGTGCATAGAAGCTTAAATATACAAGGAAAAGCTTTTTCATAAAACCAGTGCAAAAAAATATCTCGCTGACGATACTTGAACATCTCTCGATTGCTTCTAGGAGACTGTTTTTTGAAATTCAAAAGTCAAGAATTGTTTATAATTACACTTTTAAAATGCATTTCATACTATAAAGTATTTTTAAACTACCTGAACGTTGAAGAAATACAAGTTTCACAAGATGACACAGTGAAGTTCTTCAGAAAGGACTTCTATGGATATTAAGTATATCAAGATACTTTTTTACTGATTGTAATTTGGCCTCAAAACTGCTTAAGCAGTAATCTTTTCTTTAATAAACTGACTGAAAACAACTCGAAAAGTAGAGGCCATATTTACAAAAGTAAAAAATGGAAACTATATTTGGTTATATGTCTTTCATTGCAACACAAAACTACCTCCTTTTATGCAATCAGATTTCAGTATTTGGACTTATTATTTCCCGTTGTTGATTGGTTCAGACTGAATTGGTTGGCTTGTATTAGTATATCGGCTCCTGTACTGATATCTCGATACAAATGGTGATGCAATTCTGGTTTTAAGGATAGATAGATGCTGGCACTGGAATCCAATTCGTGCATTTCATCTTTTGTGGGGTCTGTTAGTTAAATGTGCTTGCATCCTGGTGAGCAATTCTTTCCCAGCCGAGACTCAAACCCAACCCCATCATTTCGAACGTCACAGAGTTACTCATTAAGCTGCCGAGTGATCATAGCTTTTCCTTCTGTAATGGGTATACCTTGATATTAAGACTAGTCATTTCTGTTGTTGGATGGTTCACATTGAATTTCACTGCAAGCCATTATCTACCGTAGTATGAAAATAAAATCAGCAACCACATTAAGGTACCCATGTGGAAAATTAAATCTCAATGTAAACAGATCTGTTCGCTTTCAGCTAATCAGCCATCTGAAATTCCAGGTCATAATATCAAACTAAACCCATCGTACAAGCAGTGGCAGTCATCAATGAGTAGCTTAGAAGGCATCACTCTGGTTTTTGAAGCTACAGCTCCGTAGGAACAAAATCGTTTACTAAAGTTCCAGTACAACCAGCTGATGAGTTCAAAATAGAACAAAATTCTTGTCCTGAGTGCCACTAATAGCCAATACCCATCATTAAAACCGGCATTTATTCTAAAAATAGCTACTGAGATATATCGCAAAAGGTACAATTCCACAATCATTACGATTTTCGTGTCAATCATATGGTTTTTCAGTGATCTATGTTCTCATTTTATTATCCGGTCATAAACTGGATCGAACTGATCGGTCTCCATTGGCTCCATATGCTCCTTTAAGGATGCTCTGGTGCTACTTGTATTTCAATTATATGTAAACAGTGGATAGTGGCTAACAGTGGATTTCAGGACGCTCATTTCAACCTATTTGGGACTTATCGGCTGGGTGCACCTGCCTTTCAGTGAGCGATGTTGTTCCCACTAGTATTCGGACTCCGGACCGACTGCCTAAAACGCCAGAGCATTATCCACTAGGCCACCAAGTCACGATAGCCACTTCTTGTTGGATGGGTATAGTTTCTATCACTAATCTCACAAACATTTTACAAGTATACGATGAAGCTGTCAGTAGCTCTTGAAATGGTGCAACAGACTTTATTTTCACTAGATATAAAACTTTGAAGCAAAATCTTCTAAAACTTTTAAGATTAACTTATCACCCAAAGTAAATTTGTTCAGCCATCCATTTTCATGAGAGAAAACATGATGTCCAACAAATCCCTTACTGCTTAGCTGATATACGTGAAGTGATGTAAGTTGCCCAGCTGGGGTATTCAAAAGTTGGTGAGTTTTGCTGACGTTGTTGGAAATCGACTACAGTGGTAAGGATGAACATACCCTTTGTCCTCATTGGAGCTTTAGGCATTTTCATTGCATTGGTCCTTCAATCTATCTTAAAACATAATTTTTTTTCCTAACCCTTAGAATCTCACTAACGACGTGAATAGGTCTTCATCGAACACCATCACACGTTTACATCTAGCAAAAGCATTAACCCCATAATAGAGGGATGTTAACAACTACGAGGAAATAACAAATTAGTTTTCACTGTTTTACGTAATAAATATTTTTCTTCTTGTCTTTAAATATACTTCAATATCTATGTATCTAAGCTCACTGAACGACTTATAATACAAAAATACAAAATGTAACTAGTTTATATTTTATGATATCTTCAAATCTTTTGCAAAATCTCACTTTATTGTTATTATTTACTCAGTAAAGTTTTAATAGCACAAAAGATCTCGGTTATACTCTATCGAAATGTCTGACTCTGCTTAATCTTCACAGTACAACGGTGATAACTGATAATGGAATATTCGTTACCCGTTGTATCTTGTTTTCGCAAACACTAATATCACAGAAACTTAAAACCGCAGTATTCCTGATAGCAGATTTAAAACAGATCAATGGGATTAGCATATTAGTTCCCGTATAAGTTTTGATTACAGATTTAAAATAGAATAGGCTTTTCTACCGTGCCTAATATCTAGCTGAAATTATTCTAAAATGCCTTCAGTCACTGACCGAGTCAACAAAATTATGATGCTAGAAACCAAAGTAAACCATTAAATACTAAAATGCCATGTAAATAATTAATTACCAAGTTATTTACTAACTACACAGTTTACATTACCGGTCTTACCAATCAAGCAGTCTTTTAGTTACTCAGCTGTAGTGTCATTAACGTTTTTTTGAGAAATCCATTTGACCATGATCACTGACTGTGACCTCTGTAGTAAAATCTTCACTAAATAACAAATTATACTTGTATACATCATTAGTAATCAGGAATCTCACATACTAATATGCATTTTTCGATGGAGGTACCAAGGCGATATAACAACAGTCAGCCATTTTGCTCGTTTAGCTATCATACAAACAGATAAAATAAGCGTAAAGCACCTCACAAAAGTGTATCAGCCCACGTTGCTATTAGTCATTTCCATGACCCCAAGAGCCGAGCTAATCAAAGCAACTAAATCTGGCTTGCATACTTCCATCAAAAAGTGTCATAAAAGGAACGATCAGTCTGCAGTTTATCTAAAAATCTAACAGTTGATGTTTCCTAGTAGTACATTTGTAGGTTAATAAATACTGGAAAAAGATGGGTAATCATTCATACGAAAATCAAGTTGATATAAGAATTATCGTTTCATTGGCCACATATACATTATAAGCGGCCATATGAGCTCAGAATTAATCAGTTCCTTTTTTGCAATTTTCTCTTTTCGTGTACTTATCAGATTGTAGCACCATCATTCCCAGTCATCGTAAAAGTCGGACACGGTCATCGTGGCGAGGGCAAGGTAAGTAGATGGATTGCATTTGTACGAATCAAGCAATTTTTCATTATTTCTGACTTGTTACATTCATTTACTGTAGTATTACATGATACAGCTTCCATAGATGAAACGCTAGAATTAAATGTTCGCGGATAAAGATGGTGAACTACCATTTTTTCCATCACATATCTAACCTCTACGAAGTCAAACATGCTAAATTCTATTTCGTGACACTAAGGTGCTTTGCAGCATCATATATATATATATATATATATATATATATATATATATATATGCTTAAGGTACACTTTACCAGATAAGTTAGCCACTTATATGTAATATGGATATACAATATTGGAGTAAGACTCAGTCACAACTGTAGAATTTAACTCCATTTTATTGATACTGGGTGATGATTAGAGGTGAAGTGAAAATCTGGGTCATGGTAGGATGCGAATCAGAGGCCTCCGCACTGTGTCAATTTGTCAAACCACGGTTATCTCATATGTTTTCATTAATAATTCAATTTTGGTTGATTTATCAGATGGATAATAGACATTTCTGAACAGTTGCTTTCAATGCACAAGTGCGCAGGCTGAGTTAGACAGGAAGGCACTTTGGTGCCACCTTCGGAATCCTAGTGAAAAAAGCAGAAAACAGCTATCGCTGGTTATAACTGGACAGACAGCCATCTCTTTCTAGCTGACATGAACTTTAGACATAAAAATAGGGACATTTTCTGAAGTGGCGTCCACAGACCAGCACCCAGCGATGGACACACAAAGGCCATGTTGCTCTCATTTATCACTAGCGAGGGTTGGTGGGAGATTGCTGCTGCTCCGGAAGAACGAGTTTAGACAGTGACCACACATTGATGCAAGTACGCATATAAAAAAAGGAAAACTACAGCCCCAAGGCCATCACGAGTGCTTCTTGACTATAAGAATAATAGGGCCACCTCCAATGAGGAAGTATTATAGGAAAAGAACAACGTCACTCATCTTGAGGAGACCCGACGCCATCTTTATTCTTATGCGAAAACAGCAATAAAGGCCATTCCTGACTCCCATAAATAAGGCTGCCAAAGTCCAATGAATTTCAGCAGCGTCCTCTGAATCACTCCGTGCACGTGGATACATTGTTGCAGATGCCGAACACAATGAGAAGCGGAAGCATTTAATACGCAAACTTACAAAGATTTTACAAAATGACGTTGATTAACAGTGAGCAAAGAATGTGAGAGAGCTGGAAAAAACAGTAGCAGTGGATAACAGTAGACGGTTATCAAAACTGACCTAGGAAATTGTGGTAAAATAGTCTGTTTAGTGAAATCATAGCACAGAAGGATGGGTTGGTGATCTATTTCCAGGAAAGATGAGTGAAACGCTTCGAAAGACAGTCCAACTAACCCCTACCTAATGTTCCGTTGCGTGCTATCCGGTCGGGTCCTGAATGCAGCACTAGGACAGACCCCTCGACCTTTGCATGAAATGAGAAGGTTGTAAGTATCCTGAAACTAGGAGCGGGGGCAACCAGTTAAACCTGAGTTAAAAGTGTTTAATAAGCTTCTTTGAGTACTGTTGATCAGATCAGTTAAAATGTTAGCTAGCTCATGAGAAATAGATATTACCCCTTCATCACTAATTGTCCCACAGTTCAAGAACAGTGAGTATTCTACCCGTAGCAACTACAAAGGAATCACTCTGATGAACAGGGTGCTTAGAATTCCAGGTTGTATAAACATAAAATGCCTACGTGGAGCTTGTGAAGTGCAAGCCTGAGAAAACTAGACAGAGTTCAGATTTGGTTGTGGTTACATCGACCAGATATTCATCCTGTGCAAGGTTCTTGAACATGATCACTGACGCTTAACACTAGCTGCATTTTTTAGCCTGGGGGTTCCATTCAAGTCCATAGATGAAGACGTTATATGCCATTGTCTCAGTGAAAACGTTGTTCAGGAATACATCACCTTATTTACTGCTGAGTATTCGAACGTCTATGGTAAAGTTAAGGTTCATGATGTGGAATCAGATGACTTATGTACATCAATCGGTGTCCACTGACGGTTTCCACTCGCCCTCAATTCTTATCAATTTTATCATACACGTACTTATGTAGGATGTCTTCTTATCATCTAACCTTAAGGGGATCGATCTTTTCATAGAAGATTCCTTAGTAGTTCTGGAGTAAGTAGATGATATAAACCTATTAGGTTGAGACAGTGAGATGTGGAGTGTTCTGGATACTTTGAGTGGCATTTTGACAGTGCTTGAGATGCACTTCTCACCAACGAAATGCAATTAGTTGCTCCACTACTGCTGTGCTTTGGTATGCCTTATAGGTTGTGATACGATACCATAGTTCACCTTGTTTTGTACTAGGTGTTTAAAATTAACCAGCAAGAAACCTTAACAGGGATAACCAATAACTGTTTACTTATGCACTTTTGTACAGGTTGACTAGGATGCAATAAGGATGAGCTGACGTGCCTGTACATATATATATATATATATATATATATATATATATATATATATATATATATATATATATATACTCCGCTTTAAAAAGTTGTCATCACATCCTGTACTCATAGGTAGTTTTTCCTTTAAAAATCTTTCACACTTTTAGGTGAAAGCCGATACGCCATTTATTTATCAAGATTTAGTTGGCCTTATGATTTCTAGTCAAACATATGCTACTACAGAACCATTCATAGATGCAAACTGTGATCTTCATGTACAAAAAATTGGTACCAACTATAAAGCATTCATGTGAGTTCCACAATCTGCCAATGGTAATCAGTTTTGTGATCTAATTAATATATGAGTTGTGAAAGAATTAACGCATCAATACAACTCTATTTTCTTGAAGTTTGCTATCATTCTAAGTGAGGTATTTATGGTAGTAGTATCAGACACGGATTAAGAATAACGACAAACTTCAATGAGGCTACAAATACACTGATACAAAGCACCACGAATAACATTTTTAAGCTCGTTTTCCATTATTATGGAATGCCATCCACTTCCATGAGTTTATGATTTTATTATTTCCACATAATTTCAAAAGAATTTATGTAACCATATCATACATCTCATGAGTGTATTGATAACTACAAATTATTAGCTACCATATTTTGTTAAGGCAACCTAACAAGATAGAATTCACAACCTAACACTATCACATAATCATCTGTGGACGTATACACTGTAACATATTTCGCTGATTCTCTTCAGATATAGAATTCATCTTAAATGTTAATAAGTCAATGATATCAGGTGGGCTTTTGTAAAAGCTATCTAAATAATAATAACCTTTTTGTGTTGATGTAATTTCTGAATGCGGTTGTTTCCCTTAATGTAGTCTGATCTTATGATTACTAAAAGATTTAAGTTTCACCGTGATTGTAGTTGAATTCTGACAAAAACGTTTCACCGCTTCACTATGATTATTATATTAGCAGACTAATGAAGCAGTCTCAAAATTTATTTGAGTAGCTTATACAAATTACTCCACCTTATGACCATTTCTCTTAACTAAGCGTTAAAATACACTAAAAAAACTACTACTTGCGTAGTACTTTCCAATGGTTTTATGGACTGATACCAACAGGTGTGTAGTTAGGGTAATGAAATATCTCATCGACTTATCAGTTTAAAACTTATAACACATTGTCATTATGCTTTCAAGCATTTTATAATTATGTTAAAATAAACTTTAATATTTTGTATGGTTTGGACATATGGATAGCATTCGATATGTGCCTAACTCAATATATAATACATACACCATAGAATAAAGAAGATTCAGCATGTCTTTTTCTTCACTTAAAAATCCAGTGGCAATATAAGATACCTGCCTTTGAAGTTGTAAGACTATGTAACTACAACAGTGATTGAAAAACCATAGTCATGCCGCTTCAAATCCAAAAACTGAGCACCTCTACAAGCCTCTCTCTCATCGGATGCCTTTGCCTGTATGGTAATCATGAATTTCCACACTTCAGAGTTCATAATGCTAATGACTGGTCAACAAAGTGAATCATTCAAAATGTTCATATGTAACGTACAAATTCACTCTATTTAAAGAATGTGAAATCGTCTATACATTAAAAGACTTTCTGAGTGTTAGATTAGTTTGAAATTTGATAATTCCCTGTTTCAGTGGTACTGATCTACTTTAACCGAGTAGTATGAAATCAGTTCAAAACAATGTTAAACATCTTAATGTATAGCCATATGACTGCGTACAGAAGATGTGAATAAAACTGTTGTCAGATTGCTTATTTGTTGAAAATTCTGTCCATACAACACATCCACAGAAGTACCTTTTGTAGACCTATGAATGTCTTCAAAGAAATAATAACATACTAATTTATGCAGAACTAATAAGTCTTGGGGATTATTCACATGATAGCAGGATTGTTTAATTTTTAGGTAAAGACGTCTACTCACCCTGATTGATTGACATTCTGAAGATCCAGAATGTGACTAGAAACAATAACTATCATCATGCCAGTTGATGTAGAAAAGAATTGGACTAATTTCAGTAGGTTTTTAAACTAGCAAGTAATCAAGTGAATTAACTTACAAAAACAAATGTAATACAAATAATTCAACTCTCATTCAAGCAGTTTATGACTAATAATTAAAGTAAGTACATATTTTCTTTTTCATTTAAAGGCGTAAGGCAATTTCTGGAAACTGGAAATCAAACACTGGATCAGCGCTATTGGAAAAAGTTCCCATGAATGATAAGTAAGTTCAATCAAAAACTGTTTAGGTTACACTTTGCTTAAAATTATTTTGGATTTATTCGCAAATTCATCCGATGCATGACCTTTACATATTGCTAGTAAATTTATATATATATATATATATATATATATATATATATATATATATATATGAAATTCTATACACATCGTTGACAAAGCAGGTTATCAATCAAAACTGTAAAAACCATACCAGTGAAATAATCCCAAACAAATCTCGAGATGCAGTCATATGATCCAAACTCATTCTAAGAATTTGTAACTAGATTTATTAATGTACTATAAATGTAATTTGTTCTTGTAGTGAGAAGATAACAGGAACTTCATTTCATAACCAATAAAACAGGCTTTCAAACACTTTTGTACTTAGAGAAGGGTTTCTTTGATTTACTTGTAGAACGAGTTGATAGGTGTATGAAACAAAGGGCAAGAAATTAGTTATCCAAATAATTATTTTAGTCTGTTGCTTCCTAGATTGCCTTCTGTATTTCCTTTCTACGCTTCTCGTTAATTTCTTTACAGTCTTTGCGGATTAGATGGTAACTCTGTCTTTCACAGGGAAATTATATCATATACTACCTATGAGGGTTTTTTCAATTAGCAAACATTACAGTGATACAGTTCTACCAGCATCCGGCAGTAAGAATTTTTAATATAAGTGATCAAATCCTTTTCAAAAGTTTATCATTATATTTTTAATTATTATAATTTTTTGATGTATACACAATAAGCAAATGATATAACTTGTACGTACTAATACCTTTCTATCATATCATGACCACGTATCGGTTGGTAGAATGAAATTCATCCCTTTTAGTTTTCTTTCTGGGTCATGAATTGATTGCAGTTGTTTAGCTTAAGTTACCACCTTACATTGTTCACTACTGTAAACTGATTATAGGAATGTTTCACCTCCTCCTTCTATCTGTTCGTATCATTTTCAGTCGTTTCAATTTTTATACTCTTCAAATTCGAAATTCACGCTACAAATATCTTTCCACTGAAGTAAATCAACGTTCCTATTAAGCTGCGTTTATTCACTTTTATAAATACACGTTGTTTTTCATTGTGACAGTTGAAAAGAAACCATTTTTTAATCTAAATTTCATTCAGACGAACAATAAACAGTATTTCAGATATTTTGAATGCAATTTCATATCAAAGCATAGTTGTATCAATACAATTATCAAGTTATTCTTTTACTAATGCTGTCATAATCTAGAAACTTATGTTGAGTACAAAACATCTCAGTTGTACAACTCCTTCTTATACTGTGACAAAGAAACAACATTAATTCACTAATAAATTGCCTGGAAAATATTGGTTTTAGTTTTTGTTTACAGACTATTGTTTCCTAATTATTTGGAGCTAAATTATTTCCAGTTGTTTAGTATGGAGAAAGAGAGTAATACCATCAGCCCTCAAAACAACGCTTTGGTTTAATTGAAGAAGTAATCTGAAACCTTCATACCATGCTGGGTAATTTTCATTGACTGACAGAAACTGGAAATAATGTTAAGTTGAACAAATGATTAAGGTCTACTATTTCGATATTTTTTATTTCCCTCTGGGAAATAATGAAAATCACTTACCTAATGCCCAAATTTTCTCAAAACATTAAATTCCAACTTAGTTTGGATATCCATAAATTGATATGGGTATTTATTGATGCTTTTAATTTCCTGCTGATTATTATGCTTTATCAAACTCATGAGTCTTTGTTGGTATATGAACTGCTGGAAGTTTCCTCTTGATGTTATTTACTTGGTGATGACCGGTCGACTCGGTCTACCATAATGACTAGTGGGAAATTGCATATAATGACAAAAAAACGAATCATATCCATTACACAAGAAGTGGCTGTGGTGACTAAGTAGTCCGGTGAATAACGCTCTGGCTTTCATGGCGATGAATGCCGGCTTCGAGTCCGAAATGAGAAACCCGTGCCTACTAGGATGCAGATGCATCCCACTGACCAGTCTTGAAAAGGATTAACTGTATGTCCTAAATTTCATCACTAGCCACTATCAAGCAAGTAACATCAAAGTTACAAGACTCCATTGACACTTTTATTAATAACTCCAAAAATGAATGAACGATATGTTCAGTACTTCTATAAAAAGGACCGATCTGCAGTAAAGTTATTAGTATAGAATCGACCGCTGTATTTCATGTGTGGTTTGACTATAATCACAAATCCATTTGCGCACAAATGAAACCTCTAGTTCCCTATAAATATACAGAAACCCCTAAACCAAGAAGAATATAACTAGTCTAATTATCATCGCAATACATATTTTACTTCTTTTTGTACACAAAGTTCCAATTTGATGATATACATGTAAATATGTATACTTTACCGATATTCAAAGCTGAATTATAATGTACTGATCTGCACTTCTGTTGATTGCCATCATTGATTCATATGTACCATATATGCCAGATACAAACCCAAAACAGGAAAGTTCTACTGAAATACGTAAATATGTAGAGACTATAAGTAATGAAGCTCATATTAATAACTTTGTTTCTGTATCTGTTCAAAAGTCTGGATATTTTTTAAGGATAATTATTAAGCTTTGTTTCCTATTTTCCGTTTAGATTTAAGTTATGGATAGATGAAGTATCTCGTCTGTTTGGAGGCTTGGATATCTGCTCCATTGATGCTTTACAATCAAAGAGTGGTGAATATTTTATTTACGAGGTAAATAATGAAGATAAATTAAACTTTCATAAACTGGTACAAAATCAAATAAACTTTGAAGTGATTCTTGCAATAAGCATTTAAGAAAAAACTATATTGATGGTTTTAAACGATGCATTCTTGAATAGGCATAATTGGACCAATATGGAGAATAGTATGTACACATTCCTTTCAAAATAATAATTGTTCAGATATCAAAAATACCTTAGTTTTGTTCGAGTTTCACAGTCTAAGTACTTATAACTAAATAAATATGTGAGTGCAATGAAAACTTCTCAGGTTTTGGTTCTCTCAGGGGTATACATAAGTACTGAACCAATACTTGGTTAGCAGAATTCTCACCGAGTTCATTCTTCAGCTAACTATAATGATACACTACGTTTGAAAATACATAGTTAAATAATAGTCACGAGAACAACAAACACTTGTAATGAAAAGATGAGTCAATCCTCCCAAACCACTGATTACGGATAGTGAAATCATGGGTTCTCAACATGAATGAAATTTATTACATGGTCCGCAAGCTGAAGAGATTGTCATCGCCCATAAATCACATCTTATTTCAAATTAAGCAAAATAATGACATTTCACAGCAAAAAACGAAGTCGTGACAGCGTCGATCGAGAAGTAATTTGGCAGCTGCTTCAACACTAGGGAATATCACTAACCTTTATCAACCTCATTCAACAGCTATATGAAGACGCCATATACCAAGTTATTCACAATGGGAAACTGAGTAATGCGTTTGAAGTGAAGATAGGAGTAAAAGAAGGTTGCCTACTATCACCGATGATCTTTCTGATTGTGATGGACTGAATCATGCAGCAAACCATGGAGAGCGAAAAGACGGGCATACGCTAGACCACGGAAAAGAACCAAGATTTAAATTTCGCTGATGACTTATGTCTGATGTCGCACAAACTGAAAGATCTACAGGCGAAAACTAACAATTTGATAGAAGAGGCAGAGAAGATGGGACTTCAGGTGAATGTAGAGAAGACGGAGGTCATGAAGATACCCAACTAACAAAAGCATCAACAACAATCACCAATCACAATTAACGGAAGAAACCTAAAGCAAGTGGCCTCTTTCATCTATCTAGGCAGCACTGTTTCAACTACAGGTGGCACAGATGAGGACGTCAAAGCCAGGATTAGAAAAGCAAGACAGGCGTTCATTAACCTGAAACCAGTATGGAGATCTTCTGCACTCAGCACGTGGAACAAGATCTGGATTCTCAACACCAATGTCAAGTCAGCCCTGCTATATGGTTCAGAAACTTGACGCGTCACGAAAAGCACTTCCAACAAACTACAGACATTCATCAACAATTGCCTACGCTCGCTCCATACTGAAGCTCTGGGAACGAAACAACCAAGAACCTTTAACTCAAGAAATATGCAGAAGGAATTGGAGATGGATTGGGCATACATTGAGAAGGCCGACTGGGGACATCACGTTTCAGGCTCTTGAGTGGAACCTAGGTGGGAAGCGACGAATTAGGTGTCCGAGGGTGACGGGGAGAAGAACGTGCTGGGAGATGGTGCGAGGAAGAAATGAGAGCTACTGGGCTGTCGTGGAACCAGGTTCAAAAGTTTTCAGAGAACAGAGTGCACTGGAGACGTGCTACTGAAGCCCTATGTTCCACTGGGAACCCAAGGGACAAATAATAATATCAATATTTGAAAGTGGTACATGTTCGGCGGCATCTACTTTAGTGTTCACTAAACAACATTTGTTCTTGAATATTGTCTCCTATTGCTATATCTTTCTGACTAACTACGAAGGAATCTATATTTTCTGCTGAAGAGATTTACTACAACTAATGAATGACAAGCTTACTGACAAGAAATCAAAAAAGTGTCCGCTTTTGGCTTTTACATTTGATGCTTATGATTCATATTTATATCTATAAATTAAAAGACCACAACACACAATGAAAAACTAATCCTATACAAGAAATTTTAGCACGAAAAATGAAGTGATATAAAAATAGAGTTATACGTAAACCTCTCTAGTAATACTCTCTGTGGGAACACTTAAGGACACGGGAGATCAAATGTCTTCCTTATCAGCTCTTATGAAACACCGAATTGCATAGTGAGTCTAAAATAAGGACGATTTACTTGATTTTATTGATATGTATTGCATTCTTTTTTGTGAAATCCATTTTATATAGTCAAGATGTTATCTTCATTTTCATGCCTGTGACAAAACAAGAAGTGAGCAGTAAGAAACGGTTTTTCTATCACTTGTTGACTTATTACAGCTTTTGTCATAGCCTCCTTCATAGAAAATAAGCACATCAAACTTTATGCAAAGAATGTACCTCATGTAAACTTCAGATTATGCTCTAACGAATACAATATAACGTATTTTGTGAAAAATTCTCTCATGAATTATGATAACTAATATTGTTTTTGTACATTTCTTAAGTAAAATAGATAAACTGTATTCTTTCCTACAAGCACATCGAAGATACATGCACGAATAATTCCCATATTGTCATGTTTTACAAAACTCTCCCGGTATAAACTAACTGGAGATTCTCAGATACGACGAAACACGTGTCCCGGATTTCATTGCTAGCATTTACCTATCATAATCAAAACAATTTCATAAACTACTGGTTGTATTCAGGTATTCATAAAGGGAACTACAAACCATATTGGTAAACTTTGCCTATTGCACAGGGATTAACCGTCACTACTCATTAGCCTTTTGAGTAACACCCTTGCATTTGAAAGGGGTACTGAGTTCCATTCTAAGTGGTGACAACAACACTCACTGGTATGCAGCTACATCCAACTAACGAGTCTCAAATACAACGAAAGGCATCTCCTAGATTCACTGCTAGCCACTAGTCATTATTAATACCTATGCATTTTTCCTTTAAAGGTAACCATTATTATTATGCACAGGCCACTAATGATAAGTATCTTTTCATAAAACTTGCTTATTACTTTGTTTAATGCAGTCCCTTCATCTAAAACGATAACTTACCAAGCTTTTGAAATGCTGTTGACTGCTCGGAGAATAAAGATTTCATCTTCAAGAATTCTAGGTCCATCACTAACTGTATCAAATCAAAAAGTACAGTTTAGTAGACAATTAGATAATTGCAAAATTTTGTAGCGAACTAGCCTATATCGACCAGCCTGACATAAAAATAACATCGTTTAGGGAGAATTAGTAAGAAAAATTTTGATTTTCATTTATAACATTGTATTTGTTTTGCTGATGATAACATGTATATTTAACCGAAAAAAAGTATTTACTGTAATAACCAATTCTAGAATCTGGTTTGTTTCGTTTTGATTGTTTTTCGAACTGGTTGATTAGACAAAAAGAAATATTGACAAAAGTAAGAAGAGTGAAGTGAACAGAATAACATAATTCCCTTTTATTTCGTCATGTTCTTGTCAGCTGCCTACAACCGATAAAACATTCATTATGTTATGATCCTAGAAACTGAAAATACCTAAGTTCACCAATAGTACGTTAGTTGGTGGATGTGTTCACTGATGTCACTTACGTAATCTCTCTTCTAAATCCTATGCATTCGTGTTACCATCCCTTTTCACTTCAGTTTGATGAGAATGTTGTAGTTCATCAATGTTAAGCATTAAAATGCCTTATCATCTTCACTTCTATTTGCGTAACTTTCAATCTTATTATACCCTTATATGTTGCTGTTCCAAGTTCATAAATGGGAAAATGTACATGAGAAAAGGATTCCTTTGATTAGCAGGGAAGTTCAGTACCTGAAAGACTGGTCTATCCATTTATTCCTTGTATAACATAATTAAAAGACGTGTTACTAACCTTTTTTAAAGTAAAACCGAAAAAAGGTGAATAAAGTATACTTGAATTGAAGGATGGTAGATTAGTTAAACAAAATCACTCATCAGTTTAAACTCTTTTACAGAGTGTACGCTTGACAAAGCTTATTCGAGGTTGGCTAAACCAATACACCATATGTTCATGAAACCGTAAAACATAACAGGATACCGTTGATAAAGTCTTTTGCCATTCTTTTTAAAGCAAAATCACTTCTTGTCGCCTCACTTAGTATTCGTTCTTATTCTCACGAATATTACAATTAACATCATAAGAATATGTTTCATTGGCTGCTCAAATATTTCAGATAAAGGTATTTGTGCAAGACCATAGAACATTAGCACATAGAGGGCTTCTCATTGTAGGACAATGTTTCTGACTATACCCTAGCTATTTGTTTTATTAGCATTTCTACTATGAATCTATTGACATAAAAAGTCATCTTGATTGGAAATGTTTATTCTTAGCTCTACCTGAGATCTTTCTCTTGTTAGTCCTTATGTTCATGTAATTTATGTTTCCCTAAAGTTGTCATCTGCTAAATATCTCTAGTGTATGGCATCAGTCGTATACTCAATTGTGCTCATTCATTCTGCCTTTCACTTGTTCGTACTTTATTTAGTTCACCTATAAGTAATTCTAAGGACATATCCAATATGAATGAGTTTCAGCTGTTATCCATGTAGAACTAAAGAGGTTTTTGATCATCGCGTAAATAATATTCACCCCTAATCTTCAGATTTCTGGGAGTGACTTATAATGTTTCCCATGATTAACTTAACTAACTTCAACTGTTAGTTAAATAATGATAAGTGATATAATGCCATCTAAGAAGTAGGCTGAAAACTGTTATTTGTAACTTCCAGCTATAAATTTATGAAGAAAAGAATTTAGAATAAGGTTCTGAGTAATCATAGATTTATGTGTTTAAGTCACTAGGTGTCGATAACTGGCTACGGTTAAGATATCTTCTTCTGTGGCTCATGCACCTGAGTAGTTGACTTCTAACTAGTGGGTTATAGGTTCACACCCAAACTCATCTACCGAGATTCTGACAGCCAGGTAGTGTCATCAGTCATCACACAGTAAGTTGGGCGTTTAGCCTGATTCACAAACCGGTATATGGTAAATGAGTTATATTTCTTTAATCTGTCTGGTATTCTTCAGTGTTTTCTCTTTCATCTAGCGGTTTGATTCATTTAACTGACTGCAGAACTCGGCAGACATGTGAAATATCTTGAAATGCTCATTTTTATAGGTAGGCTTTAACCTTGTACATATTTGAACCGCGGACACTAGAAAGACAAGGTAAGATGTACAACTTTTCACAAGATGGTGAACGAAACTATGATTTTCGTAATTACTTCACAAATCAACCCAATAGCTTAGGCTTTTGCATATAATACCAGTACTTGACTATCAGTTAATTCCGAGTATTTGCGTGCTACGTATGGTGTAGCTTTTTTCATCACCATTACAAATATGTTTGCTTTGTAAAAGCTCTACTCAAATAGTTTGGTGATTTCATTCTCGTTTTGCTTTACTTTCAGGCGAATGGTTCAGATATGACTCTTTATGGGGATGGACAAGAAATTGATCGAATGGAAATTGCTGAATTAGTAATTCAACGTATGCAATCATTGGTCCATTCGGTTTCACTGTAAGTTTAGTTATAAAACAATATAAAACTCCTTATCTTTAACTCACGGGTTTACGTGGCAGTATTACATGCTAAACCTCATTGGAAAGATTAACTGTTTTGCTTTACAGGAAAATTAAGATTCCCAGGCAGACTTTCCATGTGTAATCTGATCTTTTTGAATTTCTAGTGAAATAATTGGAATAATGTGTAGTACTAGTGGCCTCTATGGTTTGTAACACTATTTTTACCATCGGTTTTAAAGAACTAGTTGAATTCAAAAACACTGTTATTGAACTTGTATTAAACAACGATAATGAGTACTGAATAGTGAAATGATTTTTCAGGATTTTTGTGAACTCTTACTTCTGCAAGTCTGAAGTCCCAAATGCTTCTTTAAATATTTCACTGAACCCATTCATTCCAATCCGTAGTCACTGTTTGACCTACTAGTTATAAGAAGCATGTTCATATGACTGACTATTGACACTTCAATAATTCATGATGAGAATATAAATAGACACTGTATATTTGAAGAGTCTGACTTACTTCTTCGGAAAAAATGCAATGCATACTTCTCTCTGTGGATTCTGGATTTCTGAAATAGTTAAACTAAGGGTTCTGTTCGGGAATAGAGATTACTAAACATGATAGTGGTAAGTATAACAGAAGACACCATGGAATTTAAGGTTTAGTGTATAGACCATGAAATATACACAAATGCACAGGTTTTTTCAACCTAAAAAAAGTAGTTTCACCACTAACGACTGACCAGGGTAGTTTTCTTGTAACCGGATGAAAGAACCAGCCATTGGATTACAAACACTTTCATCCATGTGTTTTTCGTCAAGATTTTAGAAAACCAACAATACTTCGAAGGTATTTAGGGGATGCAAAATGGTTTTAATCATTTAGCAACTAAATAAGTCCTTAATCAGTCTTTCAATAGGAGGGAATTCACAAACAGTGATTAAGCTTATAGTGTCGGCCTAACTTTATAACAAAATGGCTGTCATTTTCGTAAATGGGGATGTAATCAGTAGTTGCTTAAGCTTGCTATTTAAGAAGAAATCAACTTACTTAACTGAACTAGTAATTTCAACAACAACTGATGGACATTTCGTTATCCCTAACTTTAAGTCGAATCACTGAGACGCATCTTATTGTCAGCCTTTGCTTTGGTGTTCTCAAAAGTAGGTGAACTATTTGCTTAAGGTTCATATAGTCTTGTAGCACAGAAGAATAAAATCATCGAAAATATTCGCAGCAAAATTCTAAGCATTAAAACATAAATCTGAATAAAAACACCGTCCATCTTTTTACAGAATATCCCAATTACTATGTGATGGGTGATTTTGAAACATTTTAGCACGAATAGCTCACTGCTGATTATGCTTAGTTGTCATCTAAACATCTTTGTTTTTTTAATTCAGTCCAAAAGCTCCGAGTTTGCAGTCAATTGGTCGAACAGTTGAAATAGATCGTACAACAGGTATGAGTACGACTGCTTCAGCTTCTGTTCTTCAACCTAATACAGGAGCTACTATATCACAACCTACTTATATTTCATCATCACAAAATCTTTCATCCTTCACACACACTCAACAAGAAAACGTTCAGCAAAACTTGCAGCCTCAGATACCTCAAAAATACCCACCGGTTACAAGTGGTTCTTTGATTGGAGAGCCAATAGGATCAGTTAGCCCCGCACTCGGTAAATATTCAGATACTGGTTCAGGAAAAAGTTTCGGTTCGTCTACCGGTTCATTATCTTCAAGAAGTGATACCCCACATCAGACTGCGTTTAGTACACCAACCACGACCCCAGCAAATCGAGGATTCAGCACTACAATGGAAATTGTGGACTCTGGGTACCGTTCTGTTTCTAGTGGCCTACCTAACACACAAAATACACCAAATGCCAACTATTCTTCTCATGCATGGAACCAGAGTTCTTCCTCTGGAATATTTAGTCCTTCTAAGATATTCCCTATGGATTCAGCTACAAAATCTAACCTGACAAATCAGCAGTTTCCCACTGCATTTGATACGTCAGAATGTTCTACTGGAAGCAAGTTAATGAGTTCGCCTCAACAGTCTTTTGGATCCTCATTCAGGTACGTTCATATCATTTAGCTGAGATCTAAATATGTGGTATTAGGAAACTGAATCAAATGAGATCTTTCCAGGTTATTTATTCTTCATTTTGTTAAATAAGTGATAACTTCAAATAATTTAATGACTAAATCTTTCACGAAAAATGAAACAAGAAACAAACTAAGATTTTGGTTAGGTAATGCGACGGATACATTCTGAATTTACAACTTTGGAGACAATTTTTAAGATGAAATTATACAATGTATAGGTACCTTAAAGAGATCTACGCAATCCAAATGAATTTCCGGATCTAAGGTTAAGTTTGGGTGACTAAATAACCTGGTAGAGAATTTATGTATACGAATGACTACTTGTATTCTGAGTGCAACTAGCTGGTTGGTTAACAAAATACCACTAAACAGTACTACTCGAAAATTAAAATGCATGTTTTTACAGTAGGCACTGTTCACATATACTGTATAAGGGCTGCCCAAACCTCAATAAACGAAGGAAGGATTCAAACTCGTGACCCCCTGATTGAAAATTAATTACATAGATCATTCAGCTACAAATGGACAACTGGTGATATTACATTAGTAATGTGCCAGTGAACCAAATATGAAGAGTTAAAACATTCAAACAACGTAATTTGTAATGAATGACACTACGCTTATGAATTTTATAGATATCTACTCAGGAAAATTTGCATAACAACCATATGTAGTAAAATCACAAGAGTAGGCTAGTCCAAGATGATTCTACAAAAGTAAATTGCTTGGATGTTATTCACTTAAAGGATATTTCAAATTTACTTGATTTTGTTGTTTCTATCCAGTATACCTGAGCTGATACCGAAACTCAAGCATAAAGTCGTGGCTTAAATATCCTATTAATAGAACCTCTAACTTAAGCAGAGTGATACAAATTCTAATTAAAATGAGTCTTCTCATGATTGCAGATACACCCTGCTAATGAATAAGGACAAGCACGAAAGGTATGTCAGTCTTTGCTTGATACAAAAGTTAGTAGTATTTACTTAATAAAGCGATACAAAGAGTATAGTTCATTACCCCACTAATTCATCAGGAAATAAAAAGTCGTTTTCATGGCATAAGAATATTTGACTTGTTTTTTACGTTGATCATAAACTTGGTAACTGTTCTCATATAATAATTTTTAATTTTAGCTCTAATATATCATCTAGCAGCGAAAGACCTAGCAGTGCTTTCGGTGAGAAAACAATGAATCAAATGACTGCTGGACCTAATCGCCCAGATGTCCCCCCAAGACAAACTTCATTACGTACTGGACCAAGCACTGAAGATACAGATGATACTATGAAAAATCTGCGCAAAACATTTGCTGGAATTTTCGGTGATTTATGAAAGCAAATAAAAGTTTAACTATCCTATACTATTATATATTTATCATGTTATCAAATGATTGTCGTTGTAACACTGAATTGTCTAACTCTGATTATTTGCTTCATTTCAATTTAATTCCTCTCGTCATTTAAACTCGTTCCGTTAACATTGACAGTTCAGCAAAACTGAATTTTTGCTGACACTGATATCATATACAGTAATTCCGTATTCCAGTGAGTCTGTATTTCATTTGGTACAGCTGAATAACAATTACTTACTGATTGATCTCATTTCATTCTCAACTTTCATCTAATAGCAAAACAACGTCGTATGAACATTGATTCACATATGCACAAAACGACATAGGGCTTAACATCACATAGAAAACACTTAATCTTCAAGTAATCTAACCTATGGGATAACTGTCATTTTCATCCAACAAGTTATTTACTACTCTCAATTATTTATCTGCATACATTCAAAAATGTCCTCACATGTGATTCTTCTTTTAAGACCTTTCCCCGCAGGAACATCTATTGACTACTGATTTTCAAAATATCTATTTATCCCTTCGTGTGACGTTGATAATGTCCAATGGATTACTTCCTCCTTACTTATTGCTTAAAAGGAATAATGACAATAAATTTTTATTTCGAGAACACTGAGTTTTGTTATAAAAAGAGTTGATTTCATCCTCCAATGGAATTAAAGTAGAAAGTGATTGAACACGAGGTTGCGAGCAATAAATAAAAGTAAAACCAACAAAGATAAAAACTGGTATGGATTTTGTAAACCAAACCTTTCTTTGTTTATAGACAGTGATGGTTAGCATGCCATTTCAACATTTTCAGTGTTTGATGAATTTATCTTCTTGCTTTCAATTACGGATACTACTTCGTCGCATGTTCTTTGAATCCTAATCCAGATAATCAACACATCTATTGCTTTTATCATAATTACTTGGAGCTGCAGTTCCTTGGCTTTGAGATTCGACTTTCAGACAGTGGGTTATGGGCCTGAAGCTTGTCGGTTAGTACGATTCGCTCTAATACAATATTTATGGGGATTGCCGATCCCATGAATGTGAACCTGGTTGCTAAATGCATTTTGATTCATACAACAGTCTTATACACTTCTTCAGTCTTAAATCCTTATCAGGCTTCTTATTTATTAGAAACTGTGCTGTTCACAACGCCATGTATCGTATTTACTTCATTCACATTTCACTATCAATTTAAAGATCCCATTCAACCGTTTCATACTTTCACTGGATTTTTCAGCCCTTTTTTAACCCTTATGCCTCACCATAGCACGCTGAATATATAGAATAATTAACTGAGTAACTTTACAGAAGTTTGTTAATTCATTAGACCCTTCCTTCACCTTTGGTTCTTGCCTTAAACCTAACTTATGATTAGTTGAACTGAAATTTGGAAATATTTTTCAGCCTCAGCGATCTGTGTTTCAGCGATTTATCATTACTTCGCATTTTGGCTCTTGGTATGCGGTTGGGAATATCCTAAATCATACCACCACTAGCACTCACATAACCACTCAGCTACACAAAGTTTTGACCACTTGCAACGACTCACTGTCAAAGATGAAAGCAAGTGACGGCCCCTGCAAATTTCTTGGAAGCACTCTGACCGCGCAAAATGAACACCATACTTACGTACAGTGACCAAGTGCATTATGGGTAACTTCTTTTGCCGGCAGAAAAGGAATAGTGAAGTCAAACAGCTCTGCTGTTGGTCTGGGATGGTGAAAAAAAATGATTGTCTATCCTCAATTAACTGAGATGCTTCTGTATAGGGCTCTTTTCAGGGAAAATTCTGTCTAACAGACAACTTCAAAGCACAGCTTCATCAAAGGAATTAAAAACAGCCCTTATGCTGAGAGAAACAGGGATCACTCCGTGATACGTATTATTGGTGTTTGAGTATCTGACGGAGGGTGAACACGTGACAAATGTGTTCACCCCCTGAACAAATTCCAGCCTACTCCTTGTAGACCACTTTTCACACGTTTTGCAGAACCTGTGAAGTGCGATAGCAGCCAATACTTAGGAGGCTACTCGTAGTGGACTGACATCCCAGCGATTAAAGATAGGTAAAATGACGGCTTTATTTTAGAACAATGAAACACTTTCAGTCCAGTATACTCTCGTTAATGTGCTAAGGTGTGACAACCTAAACTCCCACGTCTAATGTTGATACTGACTAACTGAAAGGGCTAGAACAACTTCTAATTATACCAGATACAGTTCCCGCCTCCATCTTACTCACATTCTGGTCACTAGTACTCTTGGTCCTCATGTAAATGCTGTGTGACCTGATGTGTAAAGGAGGTCTGTACACCACTGAAATCGTTGTCAGCAGAAAAAGACCGACAGACGTCAAGTTGCAAGCAACTGAGAGAGGCCCTATGTTTAGTAGTGGGATGCTCTTCAAACATATAAACAACTTCACTCGTTATTCCCATGGCGTCTTGTAAGTGCATCATCAGTACTTTCTGGAGGTTCGATAACTAGCTGCGAATGCAGTTCGGTTCGGTGCTTATTCTCAATACTAGGTGCAACCAGTTTGTTTATATCGAACCGTTTAGGAAGACGATTTTCATGACCACCAAAATACAAGATGAACTTAGCGCAAGCTAAAGCATGACCAGAGTCCAGAAAGTTGCTGCAGAAGGAGCGAAAGTCTTAAATATACTCAAGCGATCAGCATCTGATTGCGATATAATCTACTTGAGTTCAGGTGGTATGGTCGACTAGTTTCCATATGATGTGGTGCTAACTGAAGTTGCAAAGAGAAAGATAGCAGTAGAATTTGAACTAGAGGCCTCCAGGTAACAGAGCCATCTTTTTACCAACTGAGGTACCAGACCGAATTTGAATTCCATTTAGACACCCTAGTCACCATGTGAATGAGTGGTAACTATTTCATTTAATATCATCACAAAATTTGATCCAATAAAGTCTCGCCATAGTCCAAATACAGTTGAAGGGAGAAAAACTAACTGACTGTTAGTGGTACTGTCTACAGCTAGGTCGTAGGTGAGCCGTAGGTTTTTGCCTCGACTCGTGAATGTACTAAATAAGCTGGAGACTTTTGATGAATAAACTAAACTTGCTAGGCGAATTCTCATTAGCTATGTGAATAGTGATACACTACACAGCGTGCCACAATTGTTATGTGAGGACCAATGATAATAACTGGTTACTCAGATTTGGGTGGGCGGGATTCGAACACATAACCTACTGGTATAAAGTCGCCAGCGCAAACAAGCAAACCACAGATCCAGTAATGGATTGCATGAAGTAATTCAGAACAACTATAAGTCCTACATAATCTTGTATTACGTTGCGTCGCGGGTGTGATAAGAACTTTCTTACTCAAAAAACAACACCATATTTACACACTTCTAAAGCAATGCAACAGTAGACTCAGTGGTTCAGATTGGTTCAGTATATGAGTTAACTTCAAAATGAGTTATTTCGACCAAATATTAGCGTATACCGAATTAAAAGCAAGGGAATTTTGACTTTATCGGTCAAAGATGTAAGCGCTGACTCACATTTGAACCATTTCCTGTCTTTACAGTATAACTCCAGTACTGACACTGCATAGTTGGACGCTCAACTTGCAAATTATTTATTAAATTATACAGTCCACTTTGAAATTTAGCACAGTTAAGTGACTTTTGCAAGTGCCTAACCATGAAATCAAGAGGATTTTAATAAGTTGTGATCTTTTGAACAAAACTGTCATGAACTAAAGAAATATGCTAATGAACAACAAAAGTAGTTAGAAACCACTTAAACCGATCTGTGGATTCCGCTAGCCAGATTGGAGTAACTTAATAACTTGAGGGCTGTTTCGCCCGTTCAGATATAAGCTCATCAGTGGCGAACCCAGAAAAACAGCTGATGGAGTCGAATTGTTTAGATCAACTGGATCTGGTTAATTGATTTGAAGGAACCAGTACACTGTAAATCGAATTGCCAGTTCACAAATCATTTGTAAACTGCAGTAAAGAAATGTTAACATGAACCTTAAAATTCACAAAAAATTTGCACACTGACCATCTAAGATTCAGTGATTAACTTCTCTGGATCTTTATTCGTCAAATTAACGCCTAACACGCAAAAGGAACGATTCAAAACACATTGCGAACATTTAATAACTTTTAATATCAATAAAATCAAAGGAAATCAGCAGAGCTATAAAAAAAATGAGTCTGAAAGTTACGTGATAGCCCTGATATGATTATGGGATAAGTTGTGCTCGAAACGACATTCAGTACTATATCATATAAAATAATCTAGTTCGAAATTAAATTAATTTGACTTGTGCAGGTATATATTTGTTCCTTAAAGTTAGGAGAATCTGTAGTTCATTATTTATGAGATGACTTGTGGAGAGGCGGTACAAAGGTGTATGTTATAGACTGTTTTACAAAAAAACAATGATCGGAGAGAACTGAATTTAATATTTCATCACAAAAATCATATACAAGTAAATACACTTAAACACAAACATTCATGCCTAGCATACACACATAAATAAAGAGGAATAAACAAGGGGAATGGTGAAATATATATGATATATACTGATATCATTTTCTTCTCCCCTTTATCTCTTATATTACTATGTCAAAACAAGAACACGCAGATGATTTCCATCCATAAGAGCATACGATAACGTACGTAGTCGTAGTGAAAATGACAGTAACTGTCTGTGAGTGAGAGAGAAAAGAAGTGACTTCAATAATAATGAATTGTTAAGACAACTAAGTGGTAAAATCACATTTAAACTGTTTAACAGAAATATTGGCCAACAACTTTTTACAAAAGAAAGCAGAATTCACTTCTATCATCCACATAGAAAAAGCAACAATAATATTATATTTCGAAGTAACAAAATGAAGCAGAAAATAATCAAGAAAATGGAATGAATGAAGTGGTTGACCAACAGACAATTATATTCAACGTCATCTGCGTTATCAAATTTAATTATTTTCTTGATTTGGTGGGAAAGTAAATTGATAGTTTTTCTCCAATTCTCGTACACGTCTTTCCTCCTTCTTTTTGGTCCACTTGGCTATGACCATTATGATAAGAAAAAAGAAAGCTGCAACTTAACATTGATTGAAGATAAAATTCACGGTAATAACGAAACAAATCAATGCAATCAAACTATAATTTCGAGAATAATGACAAGTGATCAGGGTTAAAATGCTTTGCCCCTTAAACTGATTGCGTCTGCAAAAATATTAACCATCTAGTAGTTAAATATGCGCACACTTACAAGCTATTTCTGAAACTTTCCCCTTGACTGATAAGTTTCCGGATTTCAGTTATTTTTCTTCGGACTAAATCAATATTTACTCAGCAACCACATACAAGTATGAGCAATGGGCAGTGAGCCACATACATTGTGTAAGGACTAACAACACTACCTAGACCTCAGTAGATGGAATGGAGTTTGAACCTGCAACTTACCGGTTGGAAATTGAGTGATTAGACCAATGAGTCACAGCTGGAAAAGTTATATTTTGCAGCAAAAGAGAATTGATGTTTACCACTTTTTAACAAAGTGCTACCTACTAGTTCCCACGTGTTCATATTTGACAGTCATAAGGATGGGAGTGGACAAAACGAACAATATCTGATGTGAAAATATAAAACTAGTGATCCCTCTCTGCATTAAAAAAAACTACGAGCTTTAATCTGACTGATGTGTTACACTAAAGAATATAACAATTGAACCTGTATATACAACAAATGTGCACTCAATTATTTGCACTTTTTAAATTTACGCGAATGTTGTTAATCTATGCACCCTAAAAAAATTTGACTCGGGCAGATATTAACAACGTCGTAAATCAGAGAATCAAAATAAGAAAGCAGAGTATTTATTCTTCTCACTAACTGTGCATAACTTTTGAGAAAGAATAAAATATGTCAACTTAACATTTTTATTCTGACCAACTACCAAAGGGATTAGAAGAACGCTGTTAAATATAACTATTCTTATTACATTTTATTGCTCAAAATCAGTATATAGACTGTGGATAGAGTTCCGTTAATTTCTTCAGTATACTTTCAGAGCAGATAATAAAACTAGTGGATGAAATTTAGTTCGAAAATTTACGCTGTAAATAACGATATAACGACTAGTGGATAATGACTAGCAATGGAATTCAGGTGTGTCTTATCCAATTTGTGACTTATCAGATGAATGTACCCGCCTTTCACTGAAACCGGAAACCAATACCCACTACTTCAAACACCCAAGCGTCATCACTAAGCAGCTGAGTCGCGGCCGTTATTCCTTGTACGACAAGTATGGTGAGACTATAAGCTATAACAACATAACTTCTGTTTCCAGATGGGAATTTGACAAATACATAAATACATGAATGAATACATAGCTTTTCACGTTTTCATATCCTTTAAAGGTCTTAATTAACACGAAGTTAGTTAAAATATTGCTACTACTGAAGTTAATTTGTTGATCCCAGCGTTACTATCTTTGTCTTCAAGTGAATCCTTACTAAACTGTTAATATAAAGTCTCATAATAGTACATACGACTTCTGAGATGAAAGGCATCAAGTTCCATGAAAAATCAGAGTTTTCTTAGACAAGTTAATTTATGTGGAAAAAACGGTTGTCTCAAGTTTTTCATGTGTTGCTATTTCGGAGTTCTCCCTTCCCTAAATCATGAAAGCAATCACAAATGAGAATTCTTCACTTTGAATTTTGGTATTTCATGTAGATTTTTCAAATAAATTGCTCATGTGGGATTAACTATTTTAACCAGTTTTTATCACAATTATCACCAATCGAAATGCTTAGTGACGGAAAAGCGGACAACTGTTCGCAATAATTTGTGAATTCCCGACAGTTAAAATCCAAAGTATTATGCTCATTATAACCCAGGGTATCTCAGTTATATGGGGACGTATATTAACATTAAAGGAAGGGTTAGAAAGTAAACGGATGATGTTCGCGTGTTTATCTAGACGTTGACAATTTCTTATCTTCAGAGAAGCAATCAATAACGGTCAACACGTTTGAGATTTTCGGATTTCAATATGTGACTTTATCATCTAACAGTACATTATAATGATATAGCAATATAAGCAGTTCTTAAGTGAAGGCCAGACACTTCCTAAGTTTCTGTTTTCATAAATACTGAATTGCTGAGTGTAAACAATCTTGATATAATAATATAATAATATAATATATAATATATACTATCTGACTGAAAATAAACAGCTAACAGCTTGCTTACCATGATAAGATAAGTTGACAGGCCAGCCTGATTTTCTGATGTTTCAAATACATCAAAATCGTCTGAAGTTTTGGGACTTAAATTTGTGACAACTTTTTGTATAATCTCCATAATTTCTTGCTGTCCAAGAGATTTTGAAAGACCGTCTTTCCATTGACCTGCCCGATTAGATTTACCATTCAAAACACTATCGCTTCCTCGCACCATGATAACTTTGACCTTTGAATTAGTCAACACACTAGCAAGAGTTTGTTCTAGCTGTTCTTCAATAGTATGACTTGCTTCCATCGCATTATGAAGCAAGACAAGTTTCTTGGCTTCCAATTTCAAGACCGTCAAGAAGAGATTGGTATACTTTTTCACTTTTTCCATTATAGGAAATATGTTTGAGTATTCTTCATAACTTAAAAGGTTGTATGCTGGTTTCCTATTATGATGTTGAACAATACGATTATCATCATTGTTGTACCCATATATGGAAGATTCAAAATGCAATTTATACTTGCGATAGTAATATTCAATGCTATTACTTGATTTAACACGTATGCTGGGAAGGGGTACATCTTCAATAGTTGGAATGTCAACTTTGTGTTTTTTGAAGGCATGAATCAAAATGGACAGACTTTTATGTGCCATAGTGGGGTCTGAACAAATAATAAAACATAAACACAAAAATGCAAGGGTTTGTTAACCGAAGTAAAGTATGCTAGCATCAAATGTAGTTCTCAATGATTCAGTAGGTAGTTCATTCGCTAGCCCTTAAGAAAACAATTGTGTAAAATAGCCGTGAGAAATGCTTTATTGAATATCCAATAATACCACAGCAAATACGAAGGTAGCTTTATGCACTCTGATAGAAAATTATCAATCCCCTAGAACCTCTGTTTAACTTTTAATTTTCAAATGATCATTATCTACTAATATTATTTCAAATGTCACTATGTGTATATAAACAACACCTCTTCCTAGCCACTGCATACCTTCAAAAATGATAATGGCAATCTCCACTGGCGGGACTAGAAACTGAACAGCGATCATAATGCCGAAGATGCATTTCATTCCTAAGGTTTTGCCAATACCAATCAGCACATTGTCCTCTACCTATTTACTCGGTTTACATACCTGGGTACCGACCAATGTTTTGTTATCTACCTATATACATGCTTTTTACTGTCTGGATCAGGGTTTATTAGTGATGTCTAATCACGGAATAAGAAAAAGGTTAACAAGTCATTTGACCAGGAGTAATGACTTTCCATAATGAAATGAAGGGTGATCATGCTAAAAATGACCATGCTATCACCAACTCTACTCTGTATATAATTCTTATGACTTTTTATAATGCGATTAAAAATTGCGAAGAAATTAAAATCATGTACGTGAGATTGATGTACTGTTTGAAATGTAGAACAAGAATTCGAAGAACATTGGCGAGTAGACGAAATGGAAACATTGACACCTACTTGTTATCATTAATGATTCGAATAGTCCAGCAAATGGGAGTCAGCGTCAAATCGTAGTAGATGGGGAATCAAAATAGGATTAAGTAACAATAAGCATATTTTCATGAAGTACACATACGAACAATATGCATTCACCACATACCTGAATAGTTAGAAAGAGTGTTCCACATTTGACCAACAGATTCATAGATATCAGTTAGATTCAACGCAGATATCAACCCCATTGCTTGTTCAGGTAATAAAGACTTCTCAAGTAACTGATAATAATCTTCCATTTCTGATATAACACTCTTTATGAAGTACAAAACAACAAAAATATATACATGTATCATGAGTGAAAGCTCAGTAGTAGGATTTTGCATATGTCACTGAGTTTTTAGGAACTCGCATGGATCCCCTATAGCACGGTACCTTGAATAAATGTGCTGCCCCCACCGATAACTTCTACACTGATGTAGCGGTTGGCCTTGGATATCACAACGACCCAGCGAGATACACTGGCAGGAACTCTTGTTCCCTCGAGGTCTTAAAATACCAGAAAGGTTTATTGGATAGTGGTAAGACGAAAGGCAGTTATCATTACAGTGTAGATTGCTGCAGCAGGAAAGTGTTACCCACGCGCACGCTCCCAGTAATACACAAGACTAAATCAAACAATTTATCCTCCTTAACTGTCTCCTTCTTGCCTTCACCTCCTGATACCAATAGCAGGCTTCTCACACCTTCCCTATCCTTTCACTCCGTGACCACTACCAAGGACCAGGATCATCGAAACCTCATTCCTAGTCTCGTAAGGTCTGCTGTCGATTTCATATTGGAGCTTTCACTGTCCGAACTCTAAGCTAAACAGGACTACATGCATTGCCCACCAGAACTCTGGAATCTCAAACCATGGATGTGTGTCTGAAACAGGCATACAGGATTCAATTGTGATTATTAAGTTAAATTTAAATGACCATTGTAATGAATCACAAAAATTCACCTTACAAATATCCGGGAACTCAGTGGCCAACTCTCGCGGACTCGATGGCGTAGGCATAGCAGAAAGTCCACTTCCAGACTGGATACCAGTCAACAGCGGTCCATGCCCTTTCCACCTAGATCATTCTCTAAAAGCCAGGACAGATGAGAAGCTAGACGGTGCTTATTCGTAATCTCCGTCTATGCACCAATTAACTGCAGTTCACATAGTAAAACGGACGAATTCCATCAAAAGCTATCAATTTCGTTATGGAAAGCGTACGGTTCAATAAAAGTCGAAAACATAGATGACTTCAAAGCCAAAGTAAGGGAGGTGAGCCAAAAGAAATGCTATTTACGAAGTATATAATTACTATTATCAGTAGTAGTAGGAGTAACATCATTATCACTATTGTTTCTCCCTCAGGTTCTTAATGGAATATAGGCCTTCAGCAGAACGACTCCACTTCACTCTCTTCTCTGCAGTCTTTCACACCTCGCTCCACCACTCCACAGAAGCTCCCATTTCTTCCTCACATGTCACCATCGCCTCAGACGCCCAACTCGTCGTTTCCCGTCTGGATTACACTCGACGGCCTGGCGCGTGATGTCCCCAATCGGTCTTCTCAGTGCATGATCAATCCAATCCATCTCCACTTTCTTCTGCATAGTTGTTGGGCGATGGGTTCCTGGTTGGTTCGCCGTCAGGCCACATTTCCTTGTTGTTTGTTCTTATTATGCTGGCCATCCATCTGATCTTCAGTATCGAGCGAGCGTAGGCAGCTGTTGACGAATGTCTGAAGCTTGTTAGAAATGCTTTTCGCAACGCACCAAGTCTCTCAACCATCACTTAGAAGCACTGACTTGACTGACATCAGTGTTCAAAATCCGGATCTTGTTCCCTGTGCTGAGTGCAATAGATCTATACACTGATTTCAGATTATTGAAGGAAGGCATGTCTTGCTTTCCCGATCCTCACTTTGATATCCTCATCTGTGCCACTTGTAACTGAAACGATACTGTCTAGGTAGGTGAAAGAGACTGCTTCTTTTAGGCTTCTCCCGTTCATGGTGACTGGTGCTTGTTCTTCTTGTTGTTATTGGTTGTTAGGTATTCTCATCACCCTGTCTTCTATACGTTCACTTGATGAAGTCCCATCTTTGCTGCCCTGCCTCTTCTGTCAACTTGTTGGATTTTGCCTGTAGATCTTCGACTTTGTAAGACATCAAACATAAATCATCGGCGAAATCCAAATCTTCTAGGCTCTTTTCATTGGTCAAACAGCGTATGCCCATCTTCTCGCTCCTCATGGTTTGCTGCATGATCCAGTCCACCACAATCAGGAAGATTATCGATGTCACCGACTGCAGTCTTGTTCAGTATTCATTGCAGTTGTCTGTAGAATTCCTCCTTCTTCTCTTTATCTGCATTATTTTTAGGCACGTAGCAACGTAAGATTGTGACTTTCCTTCCTTTTTTCGATTTGAATCTTGCTGTCATGATGAAGAAGGAAGGGGTTTGGTTCCCACTGCATAAGAGCCTTCGACGCTGTTGGGGATATCATGATAGCCACACGAAAACTCAGTATGCTCGTGATTGTCGTCTGAGTGACAATATCTGAATAGATTATTGAATCTCCAGTTGACGGTTGGAAGAGTCCAATTCAACTTCCACAATGGATAATGAAAGCAAATCAAACATAGATTGATCACGAGTCTTCGCAACGATCGCGAGCAGTAGTGAGTGGCGTAGGTGATCAAGAGAGATGGAGAAGGCATTAGTGTCGGGTAACACCCGGCAACTATTTAGGCTTATTAAGCATACCGGTAAAAAGACAATGGTTAGTGAAACCAACTCCGAAAAGGATGCGACACTGATATCATCTCAGGACAGACGGCTAGGACGTTGGGATGGGACACTTTGAAGTCCAGTTCAACTGACCCACAAAAAAGTCTCAGTTGCCAGCATCCAGCCTGAACATGAATGGGACACTGATGTCAACCTCCAACTAACTCTCCTTGAAGTTGAGAAGGCTGTTTCTAACCTGAAACAATTCAAAGCAGCAAGACCTGAGGATTCACCATCTGGAGTTCTTAAGGATCGAGGTAGGAAATCGCTGATCAGAATAACAAAGATACTAGTTATTGTATGGGAATCAGTGGTAGTCTTGTCATATATATGTCACAAATGCTCAACTGAGTTGGAAAATCTCTCGATAACGTTAACTAAGAATGAAATTTTGATCATTTTTATTTGGAATGATGAGCATTTGTGACTATATATATATATATATATATATATATATATATATATATATATGAGAGAGAGAGAGGATCGTGAAGACTGAATCGATCTGTACTCACGCTCTAATTTTTCAAATCTGCAAGGAAGCATCAGCAAAGCTTTCATGTCATAATAATAATCAATCTACAAGTCAGTGATTTGTTCAGTCAGTGCGGCCAACCTTAATCATTTCTTGAACTGTCCAGCCAACATCTCACGCTAGTTGCAAAACGTACGTCCCAACCATCTCAAACGGCCCGCAGTCACAACGTTGAAGACTGACTTACCTTTGACGCCTAAAAGTCTATAGCAAACCCGAAAAAGAATCTTTTAAACAAATATTCTACCAACATTGAAAACAAAACTACGCATGTAGCGTAAATCTTTTTTAAAATGAGTTTAAAGTTGCTGTTTGAAAATGACGTTAGGTGGATGAAATATGAAAAATGAATGAACTTACTTTAGTTACGATGATGGAGATTTTCACAACGTCTAAAGGGACACTATATGCAGCTGTTAAATAGGTGAAATAAAGTGGGTATGGAGGATAAACAAAATCCATAAGATTTCAAAAACTAGTTTATAGACTTTAATCTAATTTGAAGTAATAAAAGTCAGTTGTAAAAAGTGCTATTAAATCCGATTACACAAGTACATAGTTTCCTGTATTTTACCTACATTCGATGATAAATGATAGAAATTAATCCAGTAGTGAAATCAATAATGTTGTTTATGATAATTCTTTTTAATATATGTACCACACAGTGATGAATATATAATACTGTTTCACTGTGATACATATATTAAGAATAACTATGGTAAAATTATACTCCACCACAGCGACTGAGTTCCATTATCACAACAACAATACTAATTATGTACAACATAATGCAACTCAGCGACCATGTGCACATTTTTCCACTCTTACAAACTAGACATATTGCATGATGGCTAATGATACAGCCCAGTTGAGTAGGGTGCAAACCTGTGACCCACTGCTTTAATACTATTAACATTTATTTCCCATAACCATGGTATGAAATACGTTGTTTTATATGCATATGACAGAACTACACAAATTGAGGAACTGGAAAATGGATCTTTTACAGTCAGGAAAACGTCACTACATTGGCTTAGACAGGTTTCTTTAGTATATTCAACTTTGACTTTTGTTATATGGAATTCCTATATGTCAGACTGAAAAAGATACAGAAATCCTAAATTCTAACGTATTCTATATAAGCCTCTAGACATACGATTTTGTCAAAAATTAGCTGTACATCACGGCGCTTGGGCTAATTACGTCCGTTGGCAGCATGCATAACTGGTTATTTAATAAGAACTGCACTCTAGTTCATTTTCACGATTAAAAAAGGAACCGTTACGCAATAATGTCTGATTTGAAATTCATACGCCTTTAACTCTTTACTTTGTGATTTTAATAGAGTTAGTACTTACAGGAAACAGTAATCATACTCTCAGCAAAAGGTATAAAAGTATCTAGATTACTGAATTATCTACTTATATCCATCTTCGAAAACAACTTCTAAACATGGTAAATGAAATGGAGTCTTTGGTATGGGATACTAGAAGTTAAGCGAAAGGAGCATGGCAGCATTATATGTGTAACAGTACTTAAACGAAGTTAACATGCTTCCCGAAGAGCGTCAATTTATTGTGAATGTTACACGCAATAGTGGGTCACAACATAATTTTTTAAGTTTACGTATCATTAGCAGGCAAACGCTATATCATATTGATTTCACATTACACCTCAAAATAACCTTTGAACACTCAATACTGACTAATAAGTATTAGAAAATTAGACGTTCCCTGCTCCTATCCATTAAGCCTAAATTACGTTTAGCCATCTGAAAAAACTTCCCACCAATGCGCACTCCCAAAAATGTATACCTCATATACTACACACAAATTAACTTAGGTTAGCCATAGTAATGCAAAACTTGCTTGAAACTATACATACGATGTTAAATTCTGGAAAAACTTACAGTTAAGCGTGCAAATACTTACCAGTGCTCCCTTTTAAAAGAAAGGGGGTGAAATTTAAGAAACTTCCAATGAACTGAGTTATATGAGACCATAAAGCATATGTATTAACTGAGTTTGAATCCAACAAAAAGACCGGATAAAAATCCATAGTTCTCAGCTTTTGCTTCTTGTACAGGGTTGAAAATGCCTTTAGACCTTTCAAGAATTGCCCCACTGACCGCCTGAAAGAGTTCAACTGATGTCTGCGTCGATTGTCACGAATTTTCTACAAAACAAAAGATGAGTAAACAAAGAATGGAAAATAGGCAACTCAATAAATCTATGACAGGAGATAATAAGCAGGCATAAAGAGTATCACAGTGATCAGTATTAGTTAGTGATGATGTTTCAAGGACTTATGACTCATAATCATACTGCTTCACTGTAATATACACAAAAAAGAATACAACGGAATTGCACTCTATTGCAGTACCTAAATCCTATCCTCATATTCGTCTAGAATAAAAAGCTGCTCCAAAATAAATTCAACAGATGGTAGATATGACACATGCTGAATCCGTTTACTACTGAAGCCGCTACACAGGTAGTAACATATGCATTCAACTAAGTGATATAATTTGGTGAAAAAGCAAGTAAGGAAATAAAAAGATCAACTCATTGTTCATTATCACAACAAGAAAATCAGTCAAACTGAACTTAAAGGGATTCCTTCTCTGTACATATTTCTTAAGAATACACAATTTAGAGATAACGGAAACCAAGGTGCGTTCTGATGGTTTCAATGAACGTTAAAAAAAAAACAAGCTTCGTGTTTTGTCCACGGTTAGGTTGAAATGAGGTGAATAACATTGTGGCTCATTGATCTAGGGAGTTGACTTTTAACTAGTGGGTCGCAGATTCCAACACCGCCCAACCTACTGAGGTTTGGAAAGTCACATAGTATCATTAGTTCTTTAAAAAAAAAGGTGTGGCTCACCGCCTACCTGTGATCGAAACCCTGAAACCGCTTCATGTCTTCTTTTAACAGCCATGTCAGCCATATAACAGGAGGGGACGAACTGTGGCGCAGTATACTCGTCCTCCAACAGGTAGTCGGATATCTCACCAACCAGCGCCAGAGATGACGGAAGTTGATAAATGTCAGATAGGCCTTCTGTATCAGAGATGACATTTCGTCAGCAACCAGCCCATTCGAGTTGATGCGGCTGCCAAAGTGAGTGTAGTCGATTCCTTTAACCACTGCATTTCCTAACATTAAAGTGGGAGTAGTTACAGATCAATCCTGGAGCATCATCTTACATTCGACAGGTACCAAAATCATGCCAAACATACTCCGATTTCTGCTCAACACGTTCAAAAATGCCTGCACTTTGTCAGCGTCTTCATCCAGCAGGACAATATCGCCTGAGTACTCCAAGTCCACCACATACCCTCTAGGAAGTAGAACAATCCCTGTGAAACTGCGTACCTAGGGTTATGTCTATTAGTACATGTATAGAGGAATCAAACAGGAATGGCGATAGTGGGCATCCCTGGTGGACACAACTAGTTGTCGTCGAGTCAATTCTGAAGACAACGCCCCATAAGCCCTAGCACTGCTGCGTGATTTCGAGTAGAGACCTTTGATCAGCGTGATAGACTTCTTCGGTACTTTCTTCACAGTCAGACACTGCCACAATATCTCCCGGTCTACAGAGCTGACTGCCAACTTCGGGTCAAGAAATATATCAAGTGTCGACCGCAAGCAGGTATATGCCTGTGTTCCAGGACATATCGGAGGGTGAAAATTTGATCAATCCACCCTCATCCAGATCTGAAACCCACCGAGTTTCCTCGGATTTCTTGTTCCCGAGCTCCAGTTAGGCATTCGATAACTATAGAAACGAAAATGCTGGACATGATATTATTAAAACTTATTACCCGACAGATGTTACGCGATTTTTCTCCTTTCTTATAAGAGACGAAAGGAAATTTACTCAGCAACCTTGTGCTCATTCCTGCACCAGGTAAAGAACCACACCTATTGTGTGCGGCTAATGATACTGCGTAAATGCCCCGACCTCGGTAGGTTGGGCGGTGTGCGAACCCGTGATTCATCAGTTGAAAGTCATATCCCTAAACCAATGAGCCACAATTCCACTGTCTCCATGATCTCTTTATGGGCTGGAATGATCAGTGACGAGACTACCTCTGATTCCCATACAATAACTAGTATCTTTGTTATTCTGATCAGCGATTTCCTACCTCGATCCTTAAGAACTCCAGATGGTGAATCCTCAGGTCTTGCTGCTTTGAATTGTTTCAGGTTAGAAACAGCCTTCTCAACTTCAAGGAGAGTTAGTTGGAGGTTGACATCAGCGTCCCATTTATGTTCAGGCTGGATGCTGGCAACTGAGACTTTTTTGTGGGTCAGTTGAACTGGACTTCAAAGTGTCCCATCCCAACGTCCTAGCCGTCTGTCCTGAGATGATATCAGTGTCGCATCCTTTTCGGAGTTGGTTTCACTAACCATTGTCTTTTTACCGGTATGCTTAATAAGCCTAAATAGTTGCCGGGTGTTACCCGACACTAATGCCTTCTCCATCTCTCTTGATCACCTACGCCACTCACTACTGCTCGCGATCGTTGCGAAGACTCGTGATCAATCTATGTTTGATTTGCTTTCATTATCCATTGTGGTCAGAGCTGGCTGAAATGGATCTTCTGGCTCGGATGACGTTACGGAAATTCAATAACTTTTGCTATCCTTCGAGTTCAGGTTACCAACTATCTTTATCGTTGTTTCTTACCAGGTATCCTGGGGATGAACACTGCTGTCACGTTCAGATAAATGCTTACCTATCTCCTCCCTAAACGCACACTTGATGTGTTCATCTTCCAATCGAACACAGACAAGCTTCACTGCAGCCTATTTCCTGAAACCAGTAAGGCGCAGAAATACACGTGCCCGTACTACTACGTGGTCAGAGTCCAAATAAATACTAGAGAGAGAGCTTACTTAAATTCTCTAACTCTGGCTTACAGCAATATAACTCGAGTTCACCATCATTAACAGACCATATCCGATATTCTTCAGTCGCTCACTAACTGTGCGTCGTTACTGAACACAAGTGCTGCGTACGTACACAGATACGAATGGAGAACAATAAATATATCGATTTTTATAGGTGGATATTATGCTTCGGAAAGAAATGAGATAAAGCACGGTAAATAATCATAAAGAGACCTACATCATACACATTTCTGTAAGTAAATACACGTTTTGTAGATATTTTGACATTTTTCGAACTTTCAATGGAAGATAACTGAGGATTTGGATTCTTTGACTTCACTGCTGTAAATATATAACAGAAATAATGTTAGACATTGTATTATTAATATATTTCATCTGATGAAATAAAGTGATAAGCTGATATTTGGGGACAAAGTTCTGTCAAATCCAAAGACATATCGACTATTAAATACATCTTCATTTTACCCCGGATGATGTATTTTCTGCCACAAAATCTTAACAACAACACTGTCTTACACAATTGGTACGAGCATTTTCGTTCACAATTACTGGGGTAAAACAGGTGTAATGCAGTTTAGCAGGTTTATGTACCACGACACAATTAATGTGACTATCTGGTTACTCAGGCCGAAATAAGCAGAGCGGAGTTTCAACTTGTAACCCTATAACTAAAGGTTGAGTGTACAAGTCAATTAAGCACAACTGCGAATCGGTTTAACCATATTCTCTAACAATCACCATTGAACACCTTTTCACTAACCGTAATTGGTCAGTCTATTGGTTATATGGAAAATGGAGTTGAAAGGTTTAGTGCGTTTGTCCAGTTGTGTGTGAGTGACGAAAACTCGGTATGGATAAGAAAGTTTCTTTGGCGTCTGCGAATAAACGTCACCTATGACACCAGTTAGATTTTCAAATGTACCGAAATATTTTTGATATCCCACACTGCGACTGAGATGTGTTAAAAAACTGCTGGGAACGTAGTTGAGTTACTAAACGTCGTTAAAAAGCTACCTATTTTAATTTTCTTTTCTTCATCTGTTAGAAATTATGAAACAACCTGTTCCCTATTAGTGTATTGAAGGTCGCTTAAGGGAGAATACTATACTTCCGCCACTCCAAGTAGAGTATTTTTCCCTACTAGTGAGTGAACGGAAACGAAACAAGTTATCTGAGGAAAACTGGCAATCCTATGCCGATACTGCCAACGACTGTCCATGCCTCTGTGATCTGTGGAACAAAGGGTTTCAGCAGAACGACTCCACTTCACTCTCTTCTCTGCAGTCTTTCACACCTCGCTCCACCACTCCACAGAAGCTCCCATTTCTTCCTCACATGTCACCATCGCCTCAGACGCCCAACTCGTCGTTTCCCGTCTGGATTACACTCGACGGCCTGGCGCGTGATGTCCCCAATCGGTCTTCTCAGTGCATGATCAATCCAATCCATCTCCACTTTCTTCTGCATAGTTGTTGGGCGATGGGTTCCTGGTTGGTTCGCCGTCAGGCCACATTTCCTTGTTGTTTGTTCTTATTATGCTGGCCATCCATCTGATCTTCAGTATCGAGCGAGCGTAGGCAGCTGTTGACGAATGTCTGAAGCTTGTTAGAAATGCTTTTCGCAACGCACCAAGTCTCTCAACCATCACTTAGAAGCACTGACTTGACTGACATCAGTGTTCAAAATCCGGATCTTGTTCCCTGTGCTGAGTGCAATAGATCTATACACTGATTTCAGATTATTGAAGGAAGGCATGTCTTGCTTTCCCGATCCTCACTTTGATATCCTCATCTGTGCCACTTGTAACTGAAACGATACTGTCTAGGTAGGTGAAAGAGACTGCTTCTTTTAGGCTTCTCCCGTTCATGGTGACTGGTGCTTGTTCTTCTTGTTGTTATTGGTTGTTAGGTATTCTCATCACCCCTGTCTTCTATACGTTCACTTGATGAAGTCCCATCTTCGCTGCCCTGCCTCTTCTGTCAACTTGTTGGATTTTGCCTGTAGATCTTCGACTTTGTGAGACATCAAACATAAATCATCGGCGAAATCCAAATCTTCTAGGCTCTTTTCATTGGTCAAACAGCGTGTGCCCATCTTCTCGCTCCTCATGGTTTGCTGCATGATCCAGTCCACCACAATCAGGAAGATTATCGATGTCACCGACTGCAGTCTTGTTCAGTATTCATTGCAGTTGTCTGTAGAATTCCTCCTTCTTCTCTTTATCCGTCTTTGGGCTGCTGGTGGTGTTTCTGGATGGGTTGCAGGTGGTGGTCGATTCAAGAGTTCTTTGAATTGGTCAGCCTATTGTTTTCTTTGTTTCTCCTCTTTGCTAACTAGATTCCCTTCATCATCTTTCATTGGTTTCATCTGTGTTGATCTCTTCCCTACCAGATAGTATGCTGGTTATTTGATACAGCGCTGTCCGGACTCTGTATCTCCCACCCGCAGCCTGTCCCGCTTCACTTGCCAGTGTGTCGTAGAAGTATCTTTTGTCGTTCCGCGCACTCTTCTTCATTTCCTTGTTCAGTGCACTACACGTTGTACTCAGTTCCTCTTTTCGTTGTTCATCCTTGCACTGGTTCATCTGCTTCTCCATCTTCCTCTCCCTGCTCTACCAGCTTCCATGTCTCCATCGAGATCCGTTCCTTGTCTTGTTTCTTTTTCCTTCCTGGCATGGTAAAGCAAGTTTCCTTCCACGTCTCTTTGACAGAGTTCCAGTGTTCTTCCACGTAGGTTTCTTCAGGGATGTTACTCAACATCTCCTACTTTGTCCTGATGAGTAATGTGAAGATGTCCTTTGCAGTTTTTTCCTTCAGTTTCCGGGTGAGTTAATTGACTACGCGGATATTTTTAAAGGAAACATCCTATTCTGGACAGTATTAGCATTACACTAACTTTGTAATTTAGGATATACCTATAATGTATTATTAATTAGCGAATTGTACAAAGAATGCATAAAACAATATAAAGTGAAATACTCCCAAAATGATGAGTGATAAGAAAGAAATGGAACTAGTAAAATATTTTTGCGACTCAGTACATTTTTGTAAAACTGTCCAATTATTAAAATCTAATACCCAATGCACAAAATATTTCGAAGCTATTTTCTTCAGTCACACTGCAAGGCGAAGAAGTATGCTGAACATTTGCAAAAATTAGGTGTTATAGAGTACAAAGATCTTAGAGAAGCCAGTATGCAACTTAGTCAAAACCTCACACACTTTAACCGAAAAACGTGTGAATCCTTTTTATACGTCAACTGTAGCAGGGAGGAATAGTTTTCAAGTCCAGACATACGGGGATTGTTAAGTTGACGATCTTATAACTCTTCCAGGATCTTGTCAATGGAGATGGACAATGATTTCTTTGGTAAAAAACAGTGACAGTTCAAGATATGAGGGTAGCCCCTAAAGATTAACTGTCTGACATTATGGATGTCGTTTTGTACAGGTGGTATTAAAATTAGTTTCTTGTACTCAGTTTGAAGTTTCACTGTGCTTAGATGATAGTACATGATTTAAAAGCATCTTATTGATGATGGTTACAAAGCTCGTATGTTCATGAACAACCTTCAAAGTCATATATTAATGATGGATAGTGGCTAGCAGTGGAATCCAGAATGCGCATTTCGTCATATTTGTGACTCGTCAGCTGGGTGCACCTGCCTCACAGTGAGTGATGTTGTTACCACTAGCACTGAACTCGGGGCTGATCGCTTCAAACGCGAGCGTCATCTACTAGACCACTGAACCACGACAGTCATTTCTTGTGCGACGGCTATAGTTTTAATGTTGTTGCTTGTCTTATTCTGTGGTTGGATGGACCGAGTTGATCGGCCTTAATTGTCTTATGGGCCCCTGTGCGGATGCCTCGATATTACCTGTCTCAATTATGTATTAATGATAATTGACAATGGCTATCAGTGGAATACATGACACACGGAATAGTACGGAATAATAAAAGCAGCAACATTAAAACTACACCCGTCATACAAGAGTGGCTCTCGTGGCTCGGTGGTGTAGCGGATAATGCTCTGACGTTTGAAGCGATCGGCCCCGAGTTCAATGCTATTGGGAACACCACTCACTGGGAGGCAGGTGCATCAAGCTGATGAGTCACAAATGTGACGAAACGTGCATCCTGAATTCCACTGCTAGCCATTATCGATCATTAATATATGCTTGAAAAACAGGCAGTATCACGGCATCCTCACAGGAGCTCATATGCCAATAGAGACCAATTAATTCGGTGCAATCAACGACGGGATAACACAAGCAACAACATTAACCTTCAAAATAACCTGGGACGCTGGGTAGAGCATTTCGAAAGACATTTTTGAAATTGTCGTGCACCCATGATATGGATACGTCTCTGTTACTCCATTGTCTGCTAACACATCCACCTCACGAAAGTCGGGAGGAAACTTTAAGCACAAGATACTCAACGCAAACAACTTATCCCATAACTTCCTTTAAGAATAGACTCTAGTAAAAAAGTGTAAGTCTGTGTACTGTTACCTTGAAATTTAGGTAACCGTGGTACTCAAATTTGATAAATGACCTAGGTAGTACATTGCTATCGGGTAATGATGACGTAAGGCACATATCACTGGATTGATGGATGCGTAGAGACGGTAAAAGGGAGTCTGTAAGTCATTATTCTAGACACACGTTAATAAGGGTTTTAATCTGTATTAAATCTGGAGTCATCTTGACGTTCAAACAGCTGTAAGAGGTCGAGTGGACAGCTGTTCAGCGCGGGCAGTTATGCTGTACATAGACGGATAAGCGCTTCAGGAACTCACTTATTAGAATGAGACTGGGTTTTGATCAGATGGTGGATGCAATGACTGCATGTTCTTCCTGTCAAGTGCTTAAATACTTCTATTCGTACCACAAGTTAGAAAAAACTGTTACTTCCTGATATTAAGATTGCCTTTAATTCACTGAAAAGAACTGCTAACTGCAGCTATACCCTTAAGAAGCGAGGCTCTTAAAGAATCACTGGTACTTTAAGTACACTACACACGACACTTAAACAGTGTAAAACCACCTATCGTTGTTAGGAACCAGAGGTTTGGCAAGGAAGTGTTGTCCGATTTCACCTATCTTCCAAACATATTCGTAAAATCACTGAGATATCAGTAAGGTGCTGGCAGCACCAATCGAATACGAAAAATAGCTTTTCGAATTTAATTGTCCTTTTACTGTATGGTAACACACAAGCCACTCAAACTCCAGTCTTTATATTATATGCTTGTGACAGTAAAGTCCAAGGTAGTTTTTTAAGAATTCAAGCAGCCTATAGTTACACTCATGCTTGGCTGAGTAGTAAACAATAACAATAAGCCTTATGTACATTAGGTATTTCTACAAGCGTTCAGCGAAACTAAGAGCTTTATAGGCTATATTATTTTTCACTTCATTATAACGTCATTTTGGTTTTAAAAGGGCAGTGTGCATAAGATTTAGGTGCAAGCAATCCATGCTTATATCCGTAACAGGGTCTTCAGACTGATGACGTTTGATGTCCGTTTTCGTAAGTCGCTTTCTCTATTGGGCTACTTGTATTAGGTGGCAACAGCATTTAGGCTATCTTTGGTTAAGTCATATTTTGGAGCACAATGCGGACTGTTTTTTAATGAATGCATTTACGACAAAAAAAACTGCACTTGACATTTTAGAAACACTTTATACACTCTACCTCGGTGACTTAATCGTATAGGAAATATTTGAAAGTAGTAGGGGCTAGTTTAGGAAGTGGCACTGAAAAGTAGCACGTTTCAGTGGACACCCACTTCTTAGACGCCATCCCAAATATAGTGCAGTATTTGAATGAAACCTTGTGAGAGACTAGAATCAAAATGTGGATGATGTTATACACACTTTGAATCTTATGTTTGAATACTGATGCGAATCTGCAGTTCTGCATGATTGCCGATCCTTTTCAGATTACTTTGCAATTATAACTGTTTTTTGGTACGCTTGCAATATTATTTACAATTTAGTCACTTTTATGAAGTTTACAATATACTGATATTCAAAAATGTTAAAATTTTAGCAAGACGTTAGCTACAAAGGATTTCGAAGGGAAATATCAAGCCATAGTAAGATAGACAGACAAACAAGTCAACGTAGAACCTGGCACAGAAGTGCATCGGTCCAGGTTTCTCCGCTTCACAGTAACATGCATAACAAATAACAACACTCGGCTCGACCTGGAACAGGATTACACACCGGACACACTTGCTGTGAGAGGGATTTTGATAAAACCCGGTCGCTTGGGTCAAATTAGGTGGATTGGTGTTTGAACCCGGAACCTACTGCTTGAAAGTAGAATTTCTAATCTAATGAACACTTCCATACAGAGAGGTAGTGAAAATGATACTAAAGCCAACAAAAGTGAATGGGAGGAGAGAAAAATAGATGAAGGTTAATGTAAACAACCAAAACTTCAAAGATGAATGCATAAATCTGCGTCATTATGACCGGCTATCAGCCATATCACTAGAATTTTCTAACTGTTGATTTTTACTATCTCAACGACTCCAGTCAGATAGTCTATACAGTTCAGACCAACATTCTACGATTCCATGTCATGCTTTCGTCACCCTTAGCCTCACAATCTCTCCTATTTCAGTTAACATTGCAAAACCAGGTAGAGAATGCCTCAGAATGAGCAACATTTGTCCAAAATACCTCATCGGCTAATTAACCTTACTTACCTAGTACCCTATGCCTAACATTGACATCCTTTACATGGTGACTCGACCACATGCGAACGATAATACGAAAATGCATGTGGTTAAAAAACTGTATTCTCTTCATATTTACTTTTAACGGCTACTTTCTATAGTCGTATAATAAAACAGCAGACTACAGAGCAGACTACAGAGCGGTGTATTCTTTCTTTAATACGTTGTCAGGAATCAAATCAACATCAGAGATAATGTAAGCAGACATGCCCAATAGGCTTTTTGTGTCCGAGTTGGGATTCTGTCAGCAACCAATCCATTCAGCGTGACGCAACCCCCGATCAATCGAAGTGGTCAACGCATTCCACCATATCGTGCAGACCAGTCCTGAAGCAGTATTTCACACATGTGAGAATTTCTGTTCAAGGCATTAAAGAAACCGTAACCAGAGCTTTTGCTCAACACCAGTATGTCATCCGTATACTCTAATTCCACAGCTGCCCTTTGGGGGTTGTCAGTCCCCACCAGACACAAGAATGAAGGCAAAACCTGGCACAGAAGTGCATTAGTTTAGGTTGTTCAATTCACAGTAGTATACAGAAAACAAGTGGGTAGGCATTACTGATATCAAAGCAGACAAAGGTTAGTTAAAACATTCAAGCTTTATAAGACATCAAAGAGTGAATATGTCTGTGCCGTTGTGACCAATTTTCAGCCATTTTATCAACTGTTCTCAACCACTGATTTCGGTCATCTCGGGGCCCCAGTTAGGCAGTCTATACCTCCCTACACGGTCCTAACCAACGGTCAGAGACTCAATGTATTGATGTCACATCTTTGTCTGGTCACCCTGAGCCTTTATCTAACCTAATCCAACCTTTGCTAGCATTGCACTTCGATGTATGTGGTGGCCCAAAGTGTGCAGTATATGCCCCAGCTCCCTCAGTCAATGAAGGTTCACAACCTCATAAATCGACTTGCCTTCCCTGCCTAGTACCTTTCACCTAACCTCTAAATTGCTCATACAGTGATTCCTCCAGACACGATCAATGCTACGAAGACATGTGTGATCAAAACCCTGAAACTGCTTCATGCCCTCTACTTTTAACAGCCATGTCACAGCCATATAACAGGGGGGGACGAACTGCGGCGCAGTATACTCGTCCTCTAACAGGTAGTCGGGTATCTCACCAATCAGCGCCAGAGATGACGCAAGTTGAAAATACGAAGTCAAGGGCATCTAGGGTAATGCTCATTCGATGTGATAGTGGGTATCCACAGAGGACATTATTAGTTGTTACTTCAAACGACCACTTACCATACGCCTCTAGATGAATGCGTGGTTTTGAGGAGAGGGCTTTCATTAGCGCTACATGACTTTTGCGTATTCTCTTCACAGTCAAGTACTGCTATACTTATCGACTGACAAGTCTGAAACCACCCTAGTTTGCCCGAGTATTTTTTTCTTGTCAAGCTCCAATTAGACAACAGATAATTATGTAACCTAGGATTTCGGATACAAAGTTAGTCAAACTGATTTCCTTGTGGTCGTTATATATCGCTTTCTTGTAAAATGGTATCGGTTTCAGCAAAAACCTATATTCGTTCCCGAAACCAACGCTGTAATTGCCATACAGGAGGTAAAAACATTCTTGATGCATTCTAACAGAAACGATCTTCACAGACCTATTGTCCTCTTGGTATCAGATCAAAAATTGGAACTACTCTCATTTCAATGCAGTGTTTAGGAACCCTATAATGGTTAGTTTTTAACACTTCATTGACCAAACCTTAAAATATCTAGAGTGTAGAGATAACCAATTCTAGATACATACGATGAGTAAGTGACGATGTGTGCGTCCCATCAAAGTACAGTTGGAACTTGGGAGCATAACAGTTCATCAGTTCACATAACAAGTAGCAATTTAACACATCAAAGTGACACAAATTAGTCTACTGCGTGGTATTTTTAGTATAATTTAGTGTCCAGAATAAAAGCAATTTCAAAATAACTTGTGTTCTCTTACATACAATTCGTTAAAATTAAAAAATATCGTTTTTAACGTCTCACTACCAACCTAGCACTTTCTTAGTATGGAATGTGTGGTTTTAAAAAAATTAACAAGCAAGCAGCAGAGTTCAGTCTAAATAATATAATCAACATTGGATGATAAAGAATCCTCAACAAACAATATGCAGCTATGCAACCAAGCAGAAACTAGCGAACAATGACGTTGAAGTATAGAATACTCAACAAAGTAAACATTTTACGGCTTAAGAAAGAAATGTAAGAAACATAGAGCGGAAAAAAACTACAAAAAAAAAGTCAGGGTCATGCAAACTCACAGGCTTGATATGTGTGGTAGTCAGATTCATTCAGAGCCGGATGACACATGATGCCATGTGACTTAACAGAAGCGTCCAAGGTGAAATGCATATTAGTGCACAAATTTGGAGTTGAGATCTTCAGCAAATATACACATGTTTCAGGCTCATCAACAGAGACTATATAAAACTGAGGTGTGTCAGTGCACACAAACTGCACTTCTGCCTTTCTGTGATTACCTGTTAAGTCACAGGTACTGCCATTGATATAAAACTGACTGTGATATTTGGGTTTATCTTCAATCTAGAAAATGATGTGCGAAACAACAGAATACCTGTGAAGAATTATCCCAGTTGTAATCATGGTCGTAGACCCCAAGAAGGGTTTCAGAGGTTTTTCTGGACCCATCATGATATTGAATAATGTGCTTTCGGAAGCAAAATTCATATGTCCACCAGCCTTTCCTCTACAAAACTATCATTTCTTAATCATCATGTACCACCGATAAACAGTCCGACTCATTAAGCATCGAGAATAATGAATAAATAGCACTATTAGACAAGTATGAAGCGACGCTCTCAGATGTGCTGAAGTTTCCATCAGTCCAATAACAAGAGAACTTTTGGCCAGACTTCGAAAATACTTTTATCACATCATTGCTGATCTAAGTAGCTAAGAAGTTTCACAACAAACGTTACCTCATCTAAAACTGCGGTCCCCTTAATTTGTAGATTGTACTTAACATTTTCTTCTGACAGTAGTAAAGCTGCCGTAGCCGTAAAAGAAAGAATGTAGTAAGCTGTAATCAGTGCAACCATATGTCGGCAATGCATATAAGGCATACAGCTTAAGGTATCCACGCACTCCTAGGTCACTTGGCTAGAATGCTATTGGCGGAGAAGCATCTCCGTCCCTTTTTGAGGTCGTTTCGAAAAACGATTGCATCACATAGTTTACATTTTATTCTGCTACAATTGAGCAACTGTCCGACTACACTTCTTGTATATTTAATAGTGTATGAAGGATATGAAAACTGGAGATGAAAAGTGGTGTTATTCAAATGGTTGTTGACGGAATAGAAGCTTTCGCTAAACTGGCTTCGGCGTCTACAATCAGTGGATCACTATTCCTTTTGGTTGTTAACCTGTTGTACAAGTAAAGAAAGATGAAAAAGTGGCGATTAAAACATGAAAATTCACTTAGTTCTGGGCAGATCCCAGACACACATCAAGTGGGTATCCAGTCGGCGTTTAAAAGATTCAGACGAAGTAACCTGGATCACATCTTCAGGAAGAGCGTTTCAGGGTTTAACAACTCTTAGGAAATAGAAGTTGTGCCTGATATCCAGCCTGCTATGTTCCAGGCTTAGTTTCTGCGCATGTCCTCTAAGGTTAGCGCTGCAGCTAAGATTTAATAAGTGACGGAGTGGGTGACCAGGAGTGCTCAGAATATCGTAAGTCATTATCAAGCCTCATCTTAGCCTACTGTATTCCAGAGGATACAGATCCAGCGCAACCAGCTGTTCTTCGTATATTTTGGACCTAAGTCCTTGAACAGATTTTGTCGAACGCCCCTGGGTGCCTTCTAAACTTAGTTTGTCCTCCTGGAGATAAAGGGGGAAAACGATGGTTCCGAACTCCAGGTGAGGCCGTATGAAGCTGTCGAAAATTTGGTGGAAACTGCCGGAAAATTCACCTAAGAGTTACTAACGCCAAGTTCCAACGAAGTGCGTTTCTGTCATAGTTGGCATAAGACTTAAAGTTCTGGGGCGGGGGGCAACACGCCCAAATCCTTCTCCATCAGTGACGCTTCAAGTTCCATGCCACTGAGGCTGTATACATGAGATGCATTACGTTTTACGCGCATTACCTTGCATTTCTCAGGATTAAATGCAAGCCCGTTGTTGACTGCCTTACTGTGAAGTCAAGTCTTCCTGTAGAGAAACACTGCCTTCTTCACTTTTGATTTCCCTCAAGAGTTTCACGTCATCGGCAAAAAGAAGGATTTTGGGAGACACCTGCTGGGGCAAGTCGTTTATGTATATAAGAAAAATGAGAGGACCTAGTACTGAACCTTGGGGACCACCACTTGGACATTCTGTCTCTTTAGACACACAGAAACTCACCCGAACTCTAAATGAACGACCCCGTAGATATGAAGACAGCCAGTCAATAAGAGGAGGTAGAACCCCAACTAATTTTAATTTATTGATAAGACAGTCATGATGAACACGATCATACGCCTTAGCAAAGTCTAGGTAGGTAATGTCAATTCGTCCTCGACGGTCAACAATGTTAGTGTAGCGTCACAAACTGCCCCAAAATCAATAGCCCAAGATTTGACGACTTTCGACATTGATGCTGACCTTGATAGTTTAACTGGACTCGCTAAGCTGAAGGCACCCAGTCAAGCATCCCCGCCATTTGGCACGCTGTCGTGTTACGTTGCATTGCTCGCATTCGAATCTGTAGCCAGTTAGTTGGAACGCATCGGTATTTTGGCACAACCATCCAAATATACTATCCCATCTGACTACGCTATCGTGTTCTTCCTTGGTCTCGTATTCGTGGGTATATAACAAGTTCGAATAATTAGTGATTGGTCTATGCGTCTGTCAGGTTCGCACCAGGACAAATCCTAAACTAGTCCATCTATCTGCTGCAATGAGCAAATCGGTAATGCAGAAGTACCCCTTTCGAAATCCCTGCTGTTGGGGGGCAGAGAAATTTATCTTCATGGGGTCATCCCTCAGCCCGTCATGTATAAACGATTTCATTACTTTGGAAGGACTGGACAGAAGTATCGTCGATCTGTATTTCTTTGGATTGCTTCGTTGACCCCCTTTGAAGACTGGCGTTATACGGCCCAGCTTCCAAGAATTGGGTACTGCCCCCTGACTCAGAAAACTCTTAAATAACTTACTTCAGGGTTTGGACAAGATTGAAGCTCCCTCCCACAGTACCACCGGATGGATTTTGTGGCTCCGGAAAGGTGTCTCTGGTGGGCAGTAGCAGTTTGCGCTGTACTAGATCAGCGCATAGGTCGACCACTGACGGTCCTACCTCGTTAGCGGGATATTTGTAAGCTCCTGAGTAGGTGGACGATGACGAAAAGATTTACGGATACTGATGGGCCAAGAGCTCAGCTGCTTCAGTGTACTTACCAGTCAGTCCGTTCGCACCTGGTAGTTCAGTGACTGCCGCTCTAGCCTGCCCGAATGAAGCAGAGTAGCGGAAGTGACTTCCCGGGCTAGAGACAAACATGTTTGTAAGCCTGACTTGATGCCGCTACCGATCGGCTCTCAAAGCCTTCGTACGCATGTTTCATGTCTGTTTGAATTGTCTGTAAGTGCATTCGGTGCCAATCCTTTTGTGTTCAGCCCAGTGATGTCTCTCTAACTTAAGTACTTGGCAAGTGTGGGCCCTTATTACCTCAGGTGACTTGAGGCACTTCGGCCTCGAAAGTGGAACAGGCCGACTGATCGCATGCACGATCTTGTCAAGTATGAATTTCCAATCGATGTTCATATCTTGCCATGGATGGCTAACTTCCCAATCTGTCTGTTCCAGTGCGGTTAGAAGGGCCGGAGTGTTAGGTCGTCTGAAGTTCCAACGATGTTCATTAAGAGGTCTGCTTTGATTGGTTTCGCAAACAAATCGGAGGCCGATGACAGGACTGCTAAGCTATCTATCAGGAATTCTTAGTTTTTGAAGACGCAGTCTAAGCGAGATGGGGTTTGAGCCTCCTTAACTCGCGTTACCGTTCTCACATTTTCCGTAAACCCCACCCCCTCAATCAAGTGGAAGAATCTGGCTTCAGTGGAATCGTCACTCCCGCCAAACGTGTGATCTGGAAAATTGACCTTCGGTGGGTTAAAGTCTCCTAAAATCTGTGCGCGTGTGCCGCAGTTTAAAAGGGAAACCGATTGCCTCCAGCATCTGGTTGTCATACTGCGAGTCTGCTGGCTGCTTTCTGTTAATGACTCCCACCAAGCACTTTGTAGTCTTGGACGGCTTTATGATGTACTTAAAGGACTCTTCAAAGCGTCCAGTTCTTGGATAGCGTCACATACTTCTCGAGAATCAGTAGCCTAGGGTTCGACGAGATTCAGCATCTGTGCTGGCCCTCATAGTTTTATTGGACTCGCTAAGCTGAAGGCACACGGCCAAGCATCCACGCACGCCGCACGCGCGACTTACGAACCTGACGTAACACCTCGTTTCCCTTGTGTTCAAGGAAGTTCTGTCCGTTTCTGTTGCTTCCGGTTGCTATCTGTCTCCTGGAAAGCGCTGAATCTCTCGAGGGTGTACATATCTGTCTCCAAGTTCTGCAAATATCAGACCGCAAGCAACATGAAAAAGTCCTGAGCCTGTCTTTCAAACGCCGAAGTTACCCAGATCAACATCGACTTGAAGGTGGCAGATAGTTGGAGCGTCACCCACCTATTGAAAAATACTTATGAACTAGCAAGGAAAGTTATCGTTATTGCCTAACTGATGACTCCGTTGAAGTTAACCGATATCTAATATCTGTTATTATTCAACTAGTTAACTATTTGTCTAACATAATAGCATTGTTTATATTTTTAACGCCTCTTGCTTGCTCTTCTGAGAATGAAAACAGGTGTCAGTAGCCTCCGTAGAAATAAGAGTATTAGCGCGAAAAGGCTGAAACTATCTGATCTATCGCCTAAGGTAAGAAGTCCCACCAGCGATTGCGGTCCGTCACCTAAGCTACTAGACCTTATGACTGACATCTACAGCGATGTTAATAAAGTTAAGTCCGATATTCTAGAAATCTCGAAGGCAGTTGAAAATATGCAGTACAAAATGGAATATCTCCTCCCTCTGATGGATTTGTTAGACCCCAAAGTGACTCCCCACTTGATAGTTTGATAAAATGTGGGAGATTAGTTGACTTTGTGTCCAGTGAGGTAAGCAACTGAATGCGATCCTCCTACAATTCAGCAGTCTTCAACATCCCTGACAGTTCCCCGCTAGGGCGAGTTAAGACTGATTGTTTACAAGCATGCGACTTGGCTGACTCAGCTTGTACTGTTCGTCGCCTAAGGAAAAGAAAAGTCGGGTTCCCATGCCCTGTTCTACTTCACTTAAACTCGCCGTGTAATACAAAACACTTCTCTGACTCTCTCAGAGAATTATAACATCCACAACATCATATAACAAGGTTAAGATATCTCCTGACTTAGCTTCTTGTCAGCGTCGCACACGGAAATTCCGTGGTGGACTGACTTCCCAAGTTTCGCTAAAACCACGAGATACCGAGAGTGGAAGGCAGCCAACGAGTTGTGGGGGTGACAGGCTAATTAGAACTTCACTGATCTTTGCAACCCCAGTTACCAGTGAAGAACTTGTAAATACAGCAGGGAGTATAAGAAATGCTGACTCCGTACCACCAGCATGCACCAGTATAACATCCATAGACCTAGATGACAACACAAACCTTAGTGATGAACCACAGGCATCCCAAGGCATTCCGTCCACTCACCCCGCACAGGTAGACCAGTCTGTGCAATTCGCCTCTTCGGCTTTGTTGCTAAAATGCAGTACCCCCAAGGGAAACGTCGTGGAAATCTAAACGTCTTAACAACAAACTGTCGCCCAGAGAAGTTAAGAACCCCCGATCACCTAGGAGCACACAGCGCCATGAATCTCCCTCAAGTTGGTTCATTCCCATACAAAGATAATCATTAAAACACTCCTTGCCCAGAAACGGGAAATAAGACGATCTCATCCAGCCATAATAAGTTTCAGCTGTGGGAGCGCGAGTAAAGCGCGCCACCACAGACAGCCCAAGCCACTTAAACTGGGGAATAGCGTATCAGAAAATAATGATAGGTTTTTCTCGTCACATCCCACTGTACAGTTTCCGTCGACCCAGGAATATGACCGCAGTGTACTACCAACGTACTTCAGCTCACAACCTAATGCGAACAAACCCAAAACTATCCCCTTGAGCGTCCAGAATAAGGGACCTTATGCCCACCCTAGCAGTGACATTAAAGCTAGCGTAAGTAACACCTATCCAGCGCTCTATGGAGAATCTACTCTCTGGAACCCCCCGGAAAACCCCTTTTTCGGGATTCACAAAATAATAGCACCTCTAGTCATGCAGGTGATG